TGGCGGTTCCCGCGTTCCCTTCCTGGCGGTTGTTTGGGCCCCGGTGTTGCGGTGCGCTGTGGCTGGTCCCTGCCGTGCCCGTTTGCGCCTGGGCCTGCGTCTCTTTGCTGCTCCTGGTTTTGTCCCTGTGCTTGTTGGCCGCTCCCGCCGGTGCCCGGTGCCCTGCGCTTGCCGTTGCTGTCCGCCCCTCCTTGCCCTCCGGGTTGCCTGCCTTGCCCCGTGCCCCCCTTCTGTCCTCTGCCGTTGCTTCCCTTCTCTCCCCCGTTGCCTGTGGCTTCCTTGTGGCTGTGCCCGCCCTTTTGTTTTTCCGGGGTTTGTTTCCCTTCCTTCCCCCTCTTTTCCCTTTTTCCTTTTTGGCTTTGCCGTGGTTTCCTTGTTTTGCGTCCGCTCCTCCCCGCGCCTTTTGGTTGCCTGAGGGGTTTTCCACCTTTCTCTGCTGTTTCTTCTGTGTGGTGTCTCACATTTCTTTCTCTCCTTCTCCCCTTTCCTCCGCCACCCTCTGGCACATCCATCTCCTCAAGTTTAGCCCCCGCTTGGCAACGAGTCTCCCAAGCGTCCAGCGGGCGAAAGTCCGGCCTCCTCCATTCGTCCCTTGGCACAGATGGGTGAGGTGAGTGGGAATGGGGTGAACAGTTCTGAACGGGAAGCTCCGGAGTGAGCGAACCCAGAGCCCTACATGTCACATCTTGGCTTTTCTTGCCGTTCCCTTGGCTTTCTTGGAGATTCTTGAGCCAGTCTCCCTTTGGTTCCCTCCTCCCCCCGATCGGTCACCGGGATACGGCTCACGGCGAGAGCCACAGACCGGTCTGCCCACAATCCGAACCATGAGGCTCTTTGTTTCTCCGAAACACGCGTGGGGTAATGAATTTTCGGATGAACGGAAACCTTTCATGACCACAGACCACCTAACTTGACTGGGACCTCTTCCTTCGTGTTCACTTGTGACTGCGGGGAGGAGGAGAGAACAGTCTGAGTTTAAGATCAAGTGGTAGGGGTGCCAGGCAAGGTGTTACGTAACGTCGTGTCTTTGAGTGGTCTAGGCTGTCGTGTGATCACCTGCCTGTTCTGTGCCCTGTTTGGCGCTTGCGGTTTGCGAGAAACCTTCTGTCTCAGAAATTGAAAGGCAAGCAAATTGCCAGCATTCTCATCGGCCTTAAGGTCGCTAGAATGATCACTGGGCTTTGTGCATCGAGGCTGCTGCAGGAAAGCTCAGCTTAAGAAAAGAAGAAGAGAAAAGAGTTATGGGATAAGAGAGCTTTGGGAAGACCCTAGGTACGCTTAAGCACACGCCTAAAACCCACCGAGGTGTGTGGGGTCATCTGCTTACTGTACCCGAGCTGAACCCCCATCTAGCATGCACTGAGGACCCCATGGTTTTAGATTATCCCACGTTCAGGTTTGCCCCGCTCAGCAAGGCTGCCACTGATCAGAATCTCTGTTTCCTATTCTGGTGCTGGAAGAGAGCAAAGTCAGCGATGGATACGAGAGAAAGATCTTCAAAGCTGATTTGAGTAGGTCATAACGATATACTACTGGAAGCATGTCTCGAACAGTGTGCATCAAATCATTCTTAGACGGCATTGAAAGATGCTCGACAGGGTCCGTAACGCAGATAGCAGGTCTTGTGGAATAGATCCGAAACGAGCTTTAGAAGGCGGACAAATGAGTCTGTGAAAACAGGCTTGAAGTGTTGAAATGGCAGCGAGGGGACTCGCCAACGTCACTGCAATTCTTGTTCCATTATTCATTATCCGTCATGGTATACTGGACTCAAGACATTCAAAACCTCATCAAGCCACGATGCGCTTAGCCGCACCGTTGTGGATCTGATATAAAGATGACCACTACTCTTTCGCTTGATCTTCTGGCTCCTCCACCGGCGGGGTCTTTTCCTGGCCATGTTCCTCCTTCTGACATCGACACTTTTGTGCTGACTTCTGTTCAAGTTCCCGCAGCTTCTTTGTCATGTCGACATTCTCTTCCTTGAGCTTTCTGATAAAACCAATAGCCATCTCGACCACATCTAGCTTGCTGCTCGGGACGCCTGGCCGGATAAGCAGCTCATTGTCTGGTAGTAGCATGTCGTCCCGATCACTTTCCGAAGGTAGGAGCTTCTGAATCTCTCGTATTGCAAGTGTCAACCGATTCCGCCGTGTCTTCTCGGATAGTTTGTGTGCGATGCGCTTCGAATGGACCTTCTCCGCAGTGAACTCCTCGCCTTGAGATAAGGCGAAGTTTGTGGCACCATTTCCATGGTTCAAAACCATAGGATCATGACTCGGCTGAGCACAGAAAATATTGGTGCTCGTGAAATCGAACAGATCTGGGCTTGATTCGTTGGGTTGTCTGTCGGACATGATGGTTTGAGGAACGACTGGCACGACGGGCAATCTAGTGGGTTTGGTGATACGATGTGCACTTCGTCGCCTGGCTTTGTGTGTGGCGTTCCATGTTGACAGAGGCGGGCAAAATTCTTCAACACTGTCGTGCTGACTTTGATTGGAATCGGAATCTTCCTCGGTGGTTGACCGTCGTGGGGGGGCGTTCCATTGAAAATGCCCCGGGGACTGTTCTGAAGACGCACGAAATAGGTCCCATTCGGCTTGAACAGGGGAAGTTGTCTGCCGAAAGGAAGGATGTAATATGGGTAACTCGATCGATCCGGCGTGAATAGAAATCTGTAGCCAGGGGTTTAGCATGCCAACAACAATCAGCCAACTTGAAAACATACTTGCTGACGATGAAGCAACGAGCGTTGTTGGTTCATCCATCCTTGTGGCCACAGAGATGTGCTATTTGACTCGAAATTCTCTATCTTCGACAGACCAGCTTCTGCAAAGTCAAGATTGATGGGAGGAAAATGTGCGATATCCTGCTGGCCAGGCCATTCTGAAGGGGAGTCCATCGGGTCGTCCAAGTGCCTCTCTGGGAACGAGCTGTCAGGCCCTGAATCAGGGCGATAGACCGCAAGGCTGGGATGCATGTTGGAGTAAGACGAGCGACGTCACCAGGGTATTTGCCGTTAATTCCAGTCGCGTCCGTTAAGTCCAGGTTCCAGTATCTGTGCATGGACAATGCGAATAATATCGGTGATGCACAGGCGTGTTCCAGTGGGTTACATGCCGGGTCATGTATGCAAGAAGAAGGCTGTCGTGCATTCCGTGCGCTTGTTGCGTCTGTTGCCTAACTCGCGATTGATGGACTCGAGCACACCATCTCTGGGAGGCGGTTTGGGCTGATCATCATCAGAGAGATGCGAAGGGTATAAGTCTAGGCTACTCCAATTCACCGAGGCTCGGTCCGTTGTAGTTCCGGGCTGTACAATGAGTGCCCCCATTGCGGTGGCGTTGGCTGGCAATGCAGAATAGACACTCACAGGGAAGAAAGGAAGCGAGGGTCTGCAAAGATTGGCAGCAAGTTGGGGGAGCCAAGAGCATTCACGTAAAGAGAACGTAAAGGCTTGGGACAGCCGGTTGCAATAGGTGGGCAGCATCGGGGTCCTTGTTCATTCCAACAAGCCGAAAAGGGTTTGTTCACCTCGCATCGCGTTAGAAGACGTGCTCAGCGCCACGGCAGCCCCTGTTCTTGACTGGATAGTCTTGGACGCTAGCTCATTTCCACCACCACCCTCTAAACATGATGACTGCGTTCCACCTTGAAGCGTGAAGCATCATTGCTTTTGGGATCTGCTGCAGTACCGGCAGCTCGCTTTCCACGCCCCATCGGCCTAAACCCTTGATTTTGGAGACGAGCCATGTCCAGAGTGCCGGGAACGGTCCAGACTCGTGAAGTATTGACTTGGCTCGCTTGCTCGACAAGACGCTTGCTCCAGACCCAGGCCACAGTAGAACCCACTGACAAGCTGATTGAGAACCACTCCACGCCCTTTGATATCTGGTGATCGTTTCGCTTAGTGATGTCTGAAAATGTTGAGGGTGATGGTGCTTGGCAGCTCGTCTCCCAGAAACAAAAAGCTCAGGAGTGCCCCCATGTCCTAAGACATCTCATAACGCACCCTTCCCACCAACACATCATTGTGACTGACGTCTCCGCGGCCCCTCCACGATGCACACTTCACAGACTGAGCAGCAGAAGGCCGGATGCCACCGTCATCATATTGCCACCTGCATCTTCCTTTCCCATCGCGGCCGCCCGTCAGTTCTTTTTTGTTGATCAGTATTTCCGTCATCTTCGTCACTCCCACATCCCGGCGTTCGATAACAAAGCGGAAGAGCTGACCATCGTTCCATTCCAAGGTTTTGTTGATTTTTCTCAGTCTCGGGCGAGAAGCAGCTTGGCGAGAGACGCCAGGCGTCTGGTCCATAGCAACATCACCGACCCCTCAAATCCCCAACTTCATACCGTCATCTCGCACTCTTCCAATGGCTGTGGACTCAGTCATGTAATCCTCGATTCTCCAATTCTGCAATCGAACCATTCTGTTGGACCCGGCTCACTGATGCGGTGTGTGTGAGCTCGTGAGCTGGTTGAAGGGAACGCTGGCGGCATGCTGGTGGACGCCCGGCTGGGTGTTCATTCGTCGTGATGGATTGCGCAAGAGAATCCCTGAAATGTCGTCATTCGTAAAGGTGGGCGGGTCTGGCCTTTTGTGCTTTTTGGGCGGATGGAGTTCCGTGTGCGTCCCCCACACTGCCTAACGCGATTCAGTCTAGCCCACATGTGAATTTGAGGCAAGGAGAGACGGGGGTGATTTTCATGAGACCATCGAGAGTCGAGAGAGCATCGATTGTCCTGTGTGACGAGAACAAAAATGCTAGGAGAATAGACATATGTTGAGACAGTTAGATGAAGACGAGAGAAGATGTCTAACCAACTGTAGAAGACACAAGGGGTGGAGAGCAAGCACCTTCCTTTAAGAGCAGTGGGCAGGGTGTCCTGGCCAATCATATCAAAGGTCCCACCTACCCCACGCCCCGTCAAACAGCCCCAAACACTGACAACAACTCCACGCCATCGACGCGAAAGTGAGACCAGCACGCCTTCACCAGCCAAGACGATAGCAAACACCAGAAAAATCGTGGCGTCCTCCAGCATGCGCTTCACAATCGACCAGAAGCACAGAATCCCCCCTAGTCCCAGCTGATTTGGTCCAGTGTCACAGACAAGCTTCCTGGGGAAAGTCTTGGTCCCGCCATGGCGTCCGGGACCTTGACGATGCCCAGAGATTTGCGCCATTGTCTGACGTCTGCCGAGCCACTGTTGACAACGACATCTGAAGATTTGTTAGTTGTATAGGCAGAGAAGATGTAAATACAAAGGGGGTTCTTGAGGGTGTTTTCGAAGACTTTGAAAGGCGCAAAGCATTTATTGGTTCTTTATGTCTTTCCCATCCTGAGTATGCCGCTGACACGTTCGACCCTAGCGTAGGGCGCCCCTGTGCAGCAATAGAGCCGAGCGATCAACGGGAAATCGGCAAGGGGGACCTTGGTGACGGCAACGGATGCAAAATCTTGCAAAGAAACCACTTGTTCCCCGGCAAATACACCAACCATGACCCGCCAAATGACAGGCTTTGCTATGGCGTGCGAATTGGGGCAGCGGAGCTCTGCCAAAACCCCGGAAATACGGTCACTAATCAAGGAATCCCCGTAATCGACATGGCAAAAATATCTGTACCGCAAGACCGAGTCTCCATTGCTTAGGAGCCTCTCTAGCGGTCTCGGAGAAGCCAGGCGACATGACTCCACCCACTAACATCCGATACACACATCAATGTCATCGATGCCGCTGCGATGGACAGAGCAGGGTCCAGCACCCAGAGATGGGATAGTAACACAAAAAGGGGACTGGTCCGTCTCTCATCAATTCCACCACGACGGTCTTTGCCGCCTTTTTGCAGCTTGTACTTCCTATCACAGAAACATAGTGGGATTCCTGCATTGGGGTGTGTCATCGTCTCCCGCGCTTCAGGTGGATCAGCAACCACCGAAAAGCGAGCGATCCCACTGCCCTCCACGAAACTGAGCCCTTCTAGTGGGCTTAAACACCTCAGCCTCTGAGCTCGTGCTCGATTATCGGATCCCAGACCCTGGCTGCACCCCTGTCTACCGACGCCATCTGCTGCACGTTCGCCTACCGTGGGCCCAAGAGACTAGCAGAAGACGCACTCTAGCTCATACCGATTATCGCTCACACGTTTTCCTGATTGAGCGGAGCGGCCGGGGATTCTCAAGATATAAGACTTCCCCAGCGTCCGTTTCGTTCCGCTGCTTGATCCCAGACCCACAGCCATCCGGACATCAACCATGGCTCACAACACCACCGCCAGTCGTGTGAAGCGATTCCTTGGGATCCGTCCCGAGGATGAGCTCCATGACGCCGACTTTTACGACGATGGACTCTACCTCGAGTCTGAACCCTCGGCCAAGGAGGCTCTGGCTCATCTGGTGCCCACCGCTGACGGAATCAAACACTACTTCAGGGAGCTGTTTCCGTTCTGGGGCTGGATATTTCACTACAATTTGACATGGTTACTCGGAGATCTCATTGCTGGTAAGCACTGCCTGCCAGTCACTGATTCAGCTGTGTCTGACAAACCTTCCCAGGCATCACTGTCGGGTTTGTTGTTGTCCCTCAGGGTATGGCCTACGCTGGTTTGGCCAATCTGCCCCCCCAGTTCGGATTGTACACCAGCTTCGTGGGATTTTTCCTCTACTGGGCCTTTGCCACCTCAAAGGATATCACAATCGGCGTGAGTTCTTCTGATATCACTTTGGACTTTATGATCAAGAGGCTGACACAAAAGTCTAGACCGTTGCAGTGATGTCCACTATTGTTGGAAACATCATACTCGACATCCGAGCAACGCAGCCTGAACTCGAGGCTGAGGTCATTGCACGAGCTCTGGCTTTGATTTCAGGCGTGATTCTGCTGTTTATTGGACTTACCAGACTCGGTTTCATCGTCGAATTCATTCCGCTCACAGCTATCGGCGCCTTCATGACTGGTTCTGCCATCAGTATCGCCGCTGGACAGGTGCCGACAATGATGGGAATTTCGACTGTCAAGACTCGCGAGGAGACATACAAAGTCATTATCAACACCCTCAAACACCTGGGCGATACCAGGCTTGATGCTGCAATGGGGTTGTCGGCCTTGTTCGGTCTTTACTTTATCCGCTGGTTTTGCGGCTTCATGGGTCAACGCAGCCCCACCAGATCCAAGATGTGGTTCTTCATATCCACCCTCCGCATGGCTTTCATCGTCATCTTGTACATTCTCGTGAGCTGGTTGGTCAACAGAGGCGTGTCGGATGAGAAGAATGCCAAGTTCAAGATTCTCGGCACTGTCCCAAGTGGTAAGTGGCTACGTTTGACCATACACCTCAGAGATTTGGCTGACTTGTGTCGTGTCCAGGTTTCCAACATGTTGGTGCTCCTGAAATCAACACTGAGATCTTGTCCGCCATCGCACCTCATCTTCCGGTCACCGTTATCGTCCTGCTGATCGAGCACATCGCGATTTCAAAGTCTTTTGGGCGTGTCAACAACTACATGATCAACCCTTCGCAGGAGCTGGTGGCTATAGGTTTCAGCAATGTCTTTGGGCCATTCCTCGGAGGCTATCCGGCCACCGGTTCGTTTTCGCGTACAGCCATCAAGGCAAAGGCTGGCGTCAGAACCCCCCTCGCCGGCATCTTCACAGCCGTCATTGTGCTACTGGCACTCTACGCGCTCACATCGGTTTTCTTCTACATTCCTTCGGCATCTTTGGCAGCAATCATCATTCACGCTGTCGGTGATCTTATCACACCTCCGCGGGAGGTGTACAAGTACTGGCAGACATCGCCTCTCGAAGTTGTTATCTTCTTCGCCGGCGTGTTTGTTTCCATCTTCACCTCCATTGAAAATGGTATCTATGTCACAATCGCTGCGTCTGGGGCTGTTTTGCTTTGGAGGATTGCGAAAAGCCCAGGTAGCTTTCTGGGCCGTGTTCAGCTGCAGCACGCCAGCCGGGACAGTATCCTCAAGAAGGAGAATGTCGACCAATCTGCCCTGGATGGCGAGAAGCATTCGGCGTACCTTGATCTCGGCCGCCGTGACCAATCCAACCCGCAGGTTCCCATCACATCACCGTACCCCGGCGTCTTCATCTACCGATTCAACGAAGGTCTGAACTACGTCAACTGCGCACGACACTTGGACAAGATGACGGTGTATATCTACAAGCACACTCGAAGGACGCAGCTCAACAAGTACGACAAAATCGGCGATCGCCCCTGGAATGATCCAGGCCCGCGTCGCGGTCAGGTTGTGGACACTGAGGAGATTGCTTCCAAGCCCAAGCTCAAGGCCATCATCCTTGATTTCAGCGCTGTAAACGCCATTGATGTGACTGCCGCCCAGGCTCTTGTCGATCTCAGGACTCAGTTCAACAAGTACACAGATCCCGAGGTTGTGGAGTGGTATTTTGCGGGTGTGACAAACCGGTGGACCAAGCGGGCGCTTGTCGCAGCTGGGTTTGGAGTTGACAGAGGCCATGGCATTGAAAGGGCAGGGGGGGGCCGGGAGGATGTTGTGGCTGTTGCCGGGGTTGATCCGGATGTCACTGTTGGGAGGAATGAGAAGGAAAGAGGGTCAGGGGATGTGGACTTGGAGGCTGGTCACGCTGGCTCTGGTGAGAAGCGTGATGAGATTGCACCCGTCTCTTCTGGCGAGTCGAGACCAAGTGGGAAAAGATTGGCGCCGATCTATGGTGTCAATAGGCCATATTTCCACATTGATGTTGGGACTGCGGTTGCAAGCGTGGTGAGAAATCTGGAGAGAAGAAGGGACACGGAAGACTCTAGCTTGGAGGTTTTCTAGATCAAGAGCGGGTCTTTGTTGGCTTTTTGATTTTGTTTGGCAAGGCGTTGGTTGGGATATAATGACATGATGGGATATGATGATACCTGAAATTGCGGTAGATAATGGATCTGAACATGGCTTTGGATTACCTATTTATTCGAACGGAATGGTCTCGACGTGATGTGACTTTTACCACACCAACATGAGCATGATGAGCAACTCAAATGGTAGTTGAAACGCTTTAGTTCTTGTTGGAGGCTCGTGCATATGCACCTAGACAACCAAATTCGGTCCCGAACCATAGTCGCGGGAATCGCGGCACTACCTTGCTTTTATTGCCATGTACCCAAGATGACAGCCGAAAGATATCGAGATCGACCCGCGCCTCCTCTCTACATCGGGTTGCGGCTACCACTCCAACGTCTGAACCTTATTTCCATTCGTGATTACTCAGCCGTGCCGGTATGCGGTTTGGTAGATATCGTGTCGAATCATGATGGCGGGGTACAGGAATGTTGTGCTTTGTGTGCAACCCACGAGTCCACCTATCAGGTGTCACGGCATGTCAGCTCTACTTGACCAATTCTCGTACCATAACCTCCGCAGTTCAACCTCGACCCCCCATCTCACTTCGGTTTGAATTTCATGTCAGCAGCATCACCAGATTCAGCCAGCTTTCAAGATGCCTTTCGCGCTCCAGCCCATTGCCCAGTGGACGGCCATTTTTGGCCCGGCTGTTTACACCGGTCAGCTCATCCCCGTCCCATTTCAATCACACCCACGATGCTAACTTTCTTGAGGAATCACACTAACTCACTCCACAACCCTCTCACTCCTCGCCACATCTCCTGTCTTCTCTCCCCAAACAGAGGAGAAACTTCTTGCTAAGCAATGGCATCTCATCTACCGCCAGGGCCCGAACTGGGTGCCTCCTATCATCAACTCCGCCGCGCTCTCCAATGTCTACCTCTGGTATAATCACTCCCAAACTCGACTTCAGGGAGGGCTCTATCTGCTTTCTGCTGGGATTCTGTGGGGTGTTCTCGCAGTGACGTTTTACTACTTTGAGACGGGGATCAACGGGGCGTGCAAATGGCGGCTGGCTAGGTTGTTGAAGGATGGTGAGGGAACGGGGAAGATTGTAATCAAGGGGATGAAGAAGGGGTGGATTATTCCTAGTGTCAACGGGCATACTGCTTCTGAGGGGAGTAAGAAATGGGGGGAGGAGACGGGTATGAGGGAGTTGGTGATGGGGTGGGTGAAGAGAAATCAGTGGCGGTGGATTGCGGTTGGGGTTGCTGGGGGAATCAGTGGGTGGGCTAGTTTGGGGAGGTTCAGTTGAGGGGATGGATGGGTGGGAGGGTTGATGTTTTCTCTTTGGGATGCAGTGGTAAGCAGTCGTGGTATAATCTTTCTGGGGTGATTCTGGTATCTTCTATGTAAAAGCCCGATTCTCTTAAGAAACTGTTCTTTAATAATCATCAAACGGAAATGTGTTCGGGCAATTTTGACATCCTCTCAAAGATATGGATTGAGAAAGTCCTGAAGGTGCACTTACACGTAACTTTCGATCCATGGTACATGGAAATTCATTTGAAATACACCGGTCAGAGTGTGCACGGACCAACCACTACGACTGTCCCGCTTAATTGATCGCGTCGCGGGTCGCGAGTCCACTTTTTTGAGCGCGTCTTCCGCGCTCCCAGGACAACAGCGCAACGCAGTCTTGACAATTTGGAGCTGCGACAACTCATCACCATCTTTTTTACGTGCCATGTACTTTGGCCAGCTCACCTGGGATATCAACACTCTTTTAAATCTACAATGATAGCCCCGTCGTCCCCAATTACCTTCCCAGCGAGCTCGTCTCCTGTTAAAGCCAAGAGACCTCGCCCAGCAGAACCACCGAAGCAGCACAAGCCCCGCGTTCTTGCTGGATTCCTCGCAGACGACGATTCAGACGAAGACGACAATGACGATACTACACAACAGCCCTCGCCGAAGCGGCGAATGTTGAACTACGACACCCAGAATTCCGAAGTAACCGCGCATGATGGCAACGAGACTCGAGAGACAACGCCCCCAGAGAGCCAACCGCCCCAGGAGTCGGAGGAAGAAGCAGAACGCTATGATCGTCTCTTTGGAACCCAAGCCACGCAAATCTTCCCTTCTCAGCCAACACAACCCTTGCCCGATTTTCTTCAGGATGACGAGTTCGTTCCCGCCCCCTACGGCATGTCAACATGCTCCGGAAAAACGATCCCGATCCGCGAGCGCAAACCTACCGAGTCCGTTTCCTACGCAACAATTGTAGCGGCACGGTCCCGAACAAAAGAAGGCCGCGCAAAGAAGAGCTATTTTGGTATCGACATACACAGTCTCATGGACAAGGCCGCTCAGGAGCTTGCGAAGCCACGGAAGAAGACGACGGTGCCCATTGCGCCCCCTGTACACCCAGACAAGCCACTGCTGTCCGTTGAACCCCAAGCGCAGCCGAAAAAGCAACGGCGGACACTTCTCTGGACCGAGAAATACAGAGCCCGGAACTTTATGGACCTCGTTGGCGATGACCTGACAAATCGTCAAGTGCTACGCTGGCTCAAGAAATGGGATCCAATCGTCTTTCCTAACACAGCCAAGACTCGTCCTTCTGCTCGCCGTCAACAGCAGCAACAAGGTCAGGAAGAGGAGGAACGGTTGCACCGCAAAATTCTCGTGCTCCATGGTCCACCAGGTCTTGGCAAGACGACGCTGGCACACGTGTGTGCCCGGCAGGCTGGATACGACGTTCTCGAGATCAATGCAAGTGACGACAGAAGCAAAGATGTAGTCAAGGGGCGCATCCGGACAACCTTGGGAACCGAAACAGTCAGAACTCTTGAGAACAAGAAGGCGGGAGAGACCGGGAAAGGAGACAAGATTGCGCGGCCAATATGTGTGGTTGTGGATGAGGTGGACGGCGTGGTTTCTGGATCCGGAGCAGGCGGTGAAGGAGGGTTTGTTAGGGCGCTTATTGATCTTGTCACTACCGATCAGAAGAATTCTTCGGGACAGGGAGGAGGGAAGAAGAAAGGGGACGATTTCCGCCAGATGAGGCCGCTCATCCTGATTTGCAACGACGTCTACCATCCTTCTCTTAGGCCACTCAGACAATCTGGTGTGGCAGAGGTTATCCATGTGGGGAAACCCACTGTTGAAGCCGTGGTGACCAGGTTGAAGGCTGTTTTCGAGAAGGAGGGGATTCCCTGTGACCGGGATGCCGCACGAAAGCTATGTGAGGCTGCTTGGGGAATGACCAGTGGGCAAGATGTTCGGAAGGGTGCAGAAAGTACGGCCGAGGGAGATTTGAGAGGTGTCATGGTGGTGGGAGAATGGGTTGCCGGAAGGCTCAAAGCAACCTCAAAACAAGCCACGCCTTCTCTTACCCGGCAATGGATAGACCAAAATGTCATTCAAGATCTAGCTCATGGAGGAGGAGGCGCCAGAGGCATTGGTCGCGGCGGCGTCAGAGAAATCGTCAACCGCATCTTCCAAGAAGGCGCTGGCTTCCCCAAACAGAGCCTGCCCGCCGCCGCGAAGAAGAATGCTCTTCACGAGCAACCGCAGGCCCAGCTAGGCATCTCTGAACAAACCAAGAAATATGCCATGTCTCGCCTGCGTGAGATGATTGACACGAGCGGAGAGGTTGACCGGATCATGACAGAGATCTTCCTCGAATACCCCAACCGTGACTTCAACGACGACTCCTTCCTGACCAAGCCCGACATCGCCTACGAATGGATGCACTTCCACGATACCTGCTCCTCCCGCATTTTCTCGGCCCAAGAGTGGGAGCTAGCGCAATACATCTCCCAACCCGTCCTGGCATGCCACCACCTCTTTGCCTCCGCGCGTCGTCACCAGCCGGCTGCGCACGAAAGGAAATGGGGTGAAGACGACCCCAACGAGGCACCTCCCCTCCCCTTCTCCGGCCCCAGGGCCGACTACGAGGCGCGCGAGGCAGAAAAGCTCAACCGCGCCATCCTCCAGGGGATCCAGGACTCTTTACCGCCCTCACTATCACGATCCTTCCGCAGCCCAGAAGACATCGCCACCGATTTCCTTCCTTATCTCGTCCGCTTGGTGTCACCAGATGTTAAGCCTGTCGTTATTGGGGGGAGCGACAAGACCGGTTCCATCGCGAGCGTCAGGCGAGAGGGCGAAAAGGCCATGGTGAGAAGAGCAGCCAACGTGCTGGCCGAGGTTGGGATTCAGTTACACAAAGGCAAGATTGAAGACAGTAGTGGCGGGTTGGTGGGCAGGACGACGTGGGTGTACCGGATGGAGCCGTGAGTTTTTGCCCCTTTTTCTTGGCCCCACTTTTACCACAGTACACACGCTGACATTTTGATTCAGAGACTTGGATACCTTGGCCACCTTCGAGACGGCGTCTGCCTCCCAGTTCCTTTTTTCCCAAGCACCACCGACACGATATGCCGTCCGCCAAGTGTTGGATCAGGAGCTGGCCAAGACGATTGCCGCAAAAGAAACAGCCTCTCGCCAGGCACGGCTCAGAGCCGGCGGCGGTATCATCCCCCATTTTGATGACAACAACAAGGAAAATACCCCTGATCATCTACAAAAGCTGGAGATGTTAAAGCAGCAGGACAAGATAGCAGTCAAGAAGGACTTTTTCGGGAGGATTATTGTGCCCAAGCCGGTGTTGAAAGATTCAAGTGGGAATGGAACGAAAAATACAGGGGCCGACGGAGAAAAGAAGGACAGGGTTTGGGTTACGTATCATGAAGGGATCAATAATGCTGTGAGGAAGCCGATAAGTTTGGAGGAGTTTTTGAGGGGGTTTTAGAAACTGTTGATATGCATACTTTTGTTGCTTGTTTACTGTACTTTTGAATGTTGTGCAAGCAGAGCGGTGCATAGAAGGCATGTAGCGTGAGGACTTCAGAGATTCTTGAAAGAAAGGCCTACTCGTAGCTGCCTTAGTGGCCCTTTGCACATTTGCATTGCATAGGAGTCTCTTTCCATATACCAAGCGGGTGCATTTTGTCACAAAATTGCCGAGCTACCTCACATCTACATCTACAAATCCAGTGAAGCCCTAATGAGCTCCATATAACAAGAAGAAAAAAAGACGCAAGAAAAGAAACTACAAGTAAGATTACCCCCACCACCATGGGCCTCAGTATTACGTTGTCTGACATGTCACTACCCCCAGCTCGTTAACAAATGTGACCATTCACCTTTCCTCCACTCCCATAGAATGACATTGCACCACTGGCAAATCACCAAGGCCATCCATCTTTTCTCCACCCCCTCTCCACCCAGTCAACTTTCTGGTCTCCAAATTGCGGTCGCCTTGCTCATTCCAACATTCGGTCCGCAAAACCCTATTTTTTTATTTTTTTTATTTTTTTGAGTCCGTCCCAGTCTCCGGGATCTGCCAGGAACCCGAACAGAGACCTAACGGGTCCGCCAACAGAGAGGTCGTCATGTCCGGTACCCGTGAAAATGACGAACGCTTTTAACCACTGCAACTCGCTTTGCTCTTCCAGTCTGTCGTCCCCTGTAGTCGGTCCTAGGATCCACTCGCCACTCCTGGTCAGCCAGCTGATGTCGCTATCAACATCCACGACTTCCAGCAGGACCAGCCATTCTTCGGAATGGAGCTTTCTTATGAGAACCACCCCATCCTTTGGCGTAAGTAATGGCCTTTGTGATCAAGCGCTTTGTCGGGTCGAGGTTGTAATGGTCATCTAAGAACATCCCCCAGTCGTCTTCAAAGACCAAATAATCTTGGTCCCGCAGAGCTCTAAGCAAAGACTATCCCCGTAGGGATACTTGCGGGGAGTGGGCGCTGTGGTGACCACGGGTAGTATGCTGTGGAACGCCTGGTTGTCCGGGTTTGGAGTCCAGCCATGGATCAATGGTCTTCGGAGAGTGGGAATACCCGAGGCGAGTGTCGAAGGGGATTTTGGTTGACCACGAATTTGAAGTTTTGGCTCAAGTTGTCCACCTCCGGATTGAACCTGACAGCTGCGTTCTGGAGTTCAACTTCGCCATTCTGCAGAAGTGAAGTGTGGAATCTTCTGCAGGCGTGAGCCCGAGCTTCTCTCGACACATGGTACAGGACCGAAGGTTGACGAACATGCCAACCAACTCGCGGACGGTAGTTGGTCCCCGGCCGGCGCAGCATCTTGAGCACATTCGCTCTCAATTCGTCGCGGGTCGTCCATGCCCAGGTATTACTCTCTGGATTGAAGCGCTCCTTTTTGCCAAGGAGGTTCCGGCCCATGATTGTCTACCCCAACCAAGCGCGACTTGTCGCTGCCTTCCAAAGACATGAATTCGTCCCAAGCCCGGGCGCGGGTCTCGCCGGATAGATGCCGAAATCGACCAAAGCTAAGAGCCACCTCCGTCGAAGGCATTTTTGTTTCGGCGGAAAGGCCTAAATCACAGTAATTATAGAGTTCGACATGAGTAACACGCCTTTCTTCATATATCGTGCTGCGTCGTGTTGGAGGACGTAGGGGGCTTACCGTGTGTTCTCAAGGCTGTGATTCAAAGTTAACAAGGCAGGAGCCAGGGGCCTTACTCTAGCTTGTAATCTGTCAGCTCCTGTCTCTCCAGGATAGAAAAGTCTCCCGAGCCGGGTCGGGCACTCAGGTGTGGCATTAAATATTTTGATTGAATTCTCGTGGCCTAAATGCGGGCGGAAGTATGGCGTATCGCAAGGGGACCCAACTGCATAATAAACGAATAAATAAATAAATGGCATTGAAGCCACCGAAGAAGAAGAATATCGATCCAAATGCGGATCTGTTCCTCTTACACGGCCTCGGAGCTGACGCTATTCCCATTCTCCGTTCCAGAGACACAACCTCGTACCATGAAATTGTATCCTCTCACCGCTTCAGCCGCCGGCTTGACTTTATGACGCGATTTGACACCAGTCGCCATATACGTGATAGCATTTAGCACCACTAATTTGAAAGAAGAGCAATTTCCAACGTAAACACGTCACTGATCAAGAACATGCCGCGGCTGAGAGCAGCGTATCAAACACAACGCTACTATGGGCTGAGGCGCGTTTGAATTATGTCGAAACACTGATAAGGTGCCCAGTCAACAAAATCATGAACCTCGCTCTACGAGATAACTTGTCTCAACTGCTCCTTCGCCAAACCGACACGTGTATGATGACGAATCAGAGGGAAGAGAATCAGGGAACCAGTATATATGGGGAGATCTGCCATAAAGATGGTAACGCGGACTATGTAACGAACTTGGAGAAAACAGTACAGAGCCAAACTGATGAACCTGTGATGACAAGTTCGGGATGAAATGCAGAGAAGCAGAAGTGAGCCCAGCACACTGTAAGTCGAATGTTCATTCTGTCTTTTGGGGTCTTGGTGATCCTCAGCTTCGTTCCAAGAAATTAACATACCCCGAGTACCTCCTCGGCGATCAAGATTCGACATGGACAAGGGACAGAGGTGGAACTAGAGAACAAATGCCGGACCCACAGGGTGTTCGCCGATGTGGAAGCTCCACAGGGTGAAGGTCCCCGTTGTTCGGCTGGCAGTTCCAGAAACAGTGGGCTCCGGGAGCAAGGGTCTCCTGCACAACCGAGTTTCTGTTCGGCGAGTGGTGAAGGGGAAGCTGAGATCCGGGATGTCGAGAAAAACGAAGGGCGGCTCGTGGCTTGGGGCCAAAAGGGGATGATCGCCGCAACCTCATGCCAGTGGTGGTTAAAACAGGATATCAGGGAAAACATCCAGACCAATCAGTGGGTTACCGTATACTTGCCAGAGGGAACTGTGGAGTGGTGAAAGCCTGTTGGCCCTTGGGCACAAACTGAAGTAGCAGTACCCATGTTGTAGGTAAAGATATAAATATACATGGGCCGCATGAGCCCGAATCTCAGCATGTACACAGAAAGAACCATATCCGAGAATTCCAAACTTGGGCAACTGTCCCATTACCCTCACTTGACCAAACCGACCTCAACCAATCAACAACCCCATCAACCCTCCCGCCGCAAACGTCGCCCCGACCGTCAAAAAACTCGACATCGACAGCAGTGAAATCCCCGAGATCCCATGCCCAGATGTGCAACCCCCAGCCATCCTCGACCCCAAGATCATCAAGAACCCACCCACCGCCGCGCTCAAGGGACTGACAACCACATCCGTCACCTCGCCAAACTTGGGGGCACCGTGCGACAGGAAATACGACCCAACAATAACACCGGCAGAGAACAGCATGTTCCTGTACTTCTCCGGCACCAGCTTTCCACCAAGCATCCACCCGCCGACTTCCTCATACGAAGTAGACATGCCGACCAGGCAACCCCTGACAACCAAGCTTAGCAGCTGCGCTCCGGCAATCAACATCCCGCCATAATAAGGAGGGATCTTGGCTTCTGGGCCAACTTCGGTGAATTTGGCTGCGGCAATAACGATGCCGACAAACATGGCCTCCAACCCAAGCAACAAAGTCCCCTTGCTGACCCCCAGAACCTCGTGGACTGTTGCTTTTGGTGATGGTGATGCCGAGCCAGCCTTTGGTGGTGTTGGACATTGGGTGAGCAGTGGCTTCAGGAACCCTGACCAAACTACACCGGCAAGGGAGGCACCGGCGAAGGCGTACACTCCTGACTTGACACCTACTCCCAGCTGGGCGAGGACTGTGCCGGGGCAGGCGCCGGAGAGCATCATTCCTGAGCCGAGGAGGATACCGCCTAGGATGTTGCCGTCGTAGGGGCCGAACAGCCCGAGGCTGGAGGCGGCACGGGGGACGAGGTTTGGATGGTTCGGTTGGAGGGCTTGGGCTATTGAGACGGTGGCTCTGAGGGGGTGTTAGCTTGAGATGTGAGGAGAGTGACGAAACCAGGAGTAGACGTACGCTGAACCGGCAGCCGCGGTGAGGAAGGTTTGGATCATGTGGAAGTTGGTGAAGTTGAGTTGTGAGATGATGACCGAAGGTTGGAATACTCCTGATGCTGTCAAGGCGGCACCAAAGGCGGCGCCTGTGAGGAGGGTGTTGATTTCTGACATTGCTCCTGTTTGTTCGGTTTGTTGTCCCTGTGAGCGAGAAGCACTTTCAGTTGTTGGTGTGTTTGATGGCAAAAGTGATGAAGATTCGCCCGGCTGATTGTGATTTGGGAGAGAAGACGACATTGGGATGGAATGATCTTGAGATGACGAGCTGAAAATATTATACTGTTATGTTATGTCTGTGCCCTGGTCCAGGCGGGTCTGTTCTTTAATATCGGCGGTTCGTTCACTCTGCGGGCTTCGGGGAACAGTCTTAACAGCGGCGGACGGACGTTCAGAAGGGTGGGATAGTGGGGTATCAACGAACGTCACCTCTTCGGCCACCACACCACCATCCCAACCTGCGAAGTTGCTGCAGGGCATAGCTTCAACGCAGGGGGCCAGCCTTGGTGGCGTGGGCATGCCATCCTGCCAGATGATTACGAATCCATCAGCGAATCGTGGGTAACTGTCAAAGCATCAACATGAGATGTTTGGTCAGTGGAGCACCTTTGCCATGACAGCTTCAACGTTACCGAGCTGACCGACACCTCCCGAGAACATGTCTATTTTGGTCAATGCAGGGACAAAATCCCGATCACAACCGTTGCCAACACGTGGGACTTTACCGGCTTCCAGAGCGAGCGAACCAGCAGTGCCTAGGCGTGACGCACTGAGACAGCTTTTCCGCCGGGGACCAACCAGGGCACCGGGTGCTTCGAGAAGCAAAAGCAAAAGCTGGGATTTCTTTGTGGGAAGAGGTGGTCGCCGATCGTGCACAGGCCACCCGGGGCGGGAACCGCATATCGGGGTCCAGTGGGTCTCAACCCCGGCAGCCCCCGAGAACCCGGGGCTCGGCAGTGGGCCCCTAGGTCGTATCTTATCCCCGGAGCTGACAAGCCTATGGCGTTCACATCAGCGAGCTGCATAAGCAATTGTTTCAGAGGCAGTTCAGTATATGAAATGGCATCCGGGCTTGGGTAGCTGTGAACTTGAGGTCCCCGACCCCAATGTTCCATTGTCATCATCACCGATATTCATGCATTACATCGACGCCGTTTTATGTCAGCAATTATCCCTGCTGCACTAGGGGATGGCGGCTTTACGCCTTGTGATCTCACGCAGGACCTCAAGAGGATATCACGATGTATTGAAGTTGATCCCCGACCATGTACATGCCGGGACACATGCCCTTGCCTGGTCCCCGGCTCAGAGCCCTTCTCATGGAGCGACCAGGTGCTCCCGGATCTCGGTCATCTGGAGTTCTTCTTGTATGACGGTCGAGAGCTACGTCGGCGATTAATCCTCAGCCTGATAGAATAAACTTGTCACAAATAAAAGCCAGAGGTGACTGCCCACCAGTTCATCCATTCTATTTCATCCAACCATCGTGCTACAAATTATCCGAGCACTCAACATGGCATCTCCGATTGTCCACCCCATCTTTGAGCCTGTCACGGGCACCTGGCAATACATTATTGCTGACCCGTCCACCCTTGCCGCCGCCATCATCGACCCCGTGCTTGATTTTGAACCCGCCCGCAATACCATCTCCACGGCCACTGCTGATTCGTTGCTCGATATCGTCGTCCACAACAACTACAAAGTTGGTTATCTTCTCGAGACACATACCCATGCAGACCATCTGTCTGCTTCCCGGTACCTCCAGCTCAAGCTCGCGCAATCAACAAACCCGAAAACAGGGATTGGCAAGCGCATCGTCCAGGCCCAAACCACATTTGCCCAGAAATACGGAGTCGAACAATCCGAACTCGAAGATGTTTTCGATTTTCTTTGGGAGGATGACCAGACTTTCAGAATCGGTGACTTGGAGGCAAAGGTGGTCCATCTGCCTGGCCACACGCCTGATCATGTTGGATATTTGATTGGCGGTCTGTTTTTTGTCTCTTTCCAGCTCTGTCGGTGATTTTGATGCTGACCGCCTCACCTTAACCACCGCAGACAACATCTTTTGTGGCGATTCTCTGTTCCTCCCTGACGTTGGCTCAGCCCGTTGCGACTTCCCCGGAGGAGACGCTGTCCAACTGTTAGTGCAACCCTTTGCTCCTTTTCTCTGTTGTCTTTGCTTCTGCTTCTTCCCTCTCATCAAGCCTTTCTCCCGCCCCTTCCCCGTGTCCTTTCACTGCTCCTTTCCTGTTGTTCCAGTTGTACCTCACTTGCTCCTTCCCTGTTGGTTCCCTGCTCGGTTCCTACCCACCCTTTTGCCCATTTCCCCTTTTGCATTACCACGTTAGCACAGTACCACATCACCACATTTGCACATTCCGCTCCTTCAACCATACTCCTTTTCATCTGATCAGTAAAACTAACAACTATTTTCTCTCTATACAGCTACCACTCAGTCCAAACCCTCTTCTCCCTCCCCCCACATCACAAGATCTACACAGGCCACGATTACCCATCCGGCGACCGCAGCGACCCAGTCCCTTACACGACCGTAGCCGAGCAACAAGAACGGAACAAACACCTCAAGATTGGCACAACACAACAAGAGTTTGTGAACTGGAGGCAGGAGAGGGACTCGGAGCTTGGGGAGCCGAGGTTGCTGCACCAGAGTCTGCAGGTTAATATCCGAGGAGGGAGACTGCCGAGGAGTGGGATGTTGGTTTTGCCTTTGAAGGGGGCCAGGGAGGTGGGGGGTGTGAAGCTTTGAGGATGGGCGTGCCGGGTGGTTGTTTGAATATATGAGATGCGTCGATTGTGGATTGTCATTGGGCTAACCCCCTTTTGTTTGTTTACCTAGTGCCTATACCCCAAGGACTATTACGTTGGAAAGAATTGTGACTGATACGAGAAGAATCTTATGTACATTTTGAGCTGGACAGCTCCGCCATCAATTCCGGTTTATGGAGTTTGATTGGGTACACTGCTGCTGCAGTTGGACCCAAAGCTCTATGCTGTTGCAGTGCCAATGCAACAGCAAGACAGACGATGCACAGTGAACACGCGACGGTGTGGCACAGCTATAGCCGTTGGTTGTTTACTTCAGTACAAGATCTCAAATAACCCATCCCCGCAAGAAACTGGTAAATATGAAACGATCGCTCTTGTACATGCCTGGATGGCACTGGGATCTCTGCTCTTTACTGGGCAAGGGGCAGCTTTTTTGAGACTTGCTGGGTCATATTGCAATGGAGTTGCTCATATCTCTCTTGTCATGGCAATCGATTGCAGTCCCGGCGGTTGCCTACTGCCTCACTCTTGCATTCTACCGCCTCTACTTGGATCCTCTTGCCAAATTTCCCGGCCCAAAGCTCGCCGCAATCACTCGCTACTACGAGGCGTATTACGACGTGGTCAAAAAGGGACAGTATACCTTTCGCATCGCCGAGATGCACAGACAATATGGTAAGTCGTCGATTATTGAATTCTGCGACCTTGTCAGCTGACGACATACAGGGCCCATCGTCCGGATCAGTCCTTACGAGCTTCACATCAACGACCCAGCTTATTTTGAAAAGCTCTACCGCCACGAGGGGCGCTGGAACAAGTACGACTGGTCGGTCGATGCCCAGAATGCCCTTGGTGCCATCATCTTTACACCGGACCACCACGAGCACAAGGCCCGTCGGGCACCGCTTAATGCCTATTTTTCCAAATCAAGGGTTGTCCGCCATCAGGACATGATCATCCGTAAGCTAGAAAAGCTCTGCGGGCGGATTGGCGAGTTTGCAAAAGCTGGAAGAGTGATCGATCTCGGCGCTGCTATAAGTGCTTTCCAGAGGGATGCTTCCACAGAGTATGTTCTTGGGAAGGACTATAACAGTCTTGACCAACCGGACTTCAGTGTCGGTATGACAAGAATCATGCATGGTGGCGGAAGGATGTGGCACTTGACCAAGCACATCCGCTGGTACGGGCCTGCTATGCTTTCTATTCCGAAGGAGTTTCTCATCAAGAGCGCTGATCCGGATACGTCAAACTTTATGCGCTATGCGCGAGTATATACAGCAGTCTACCATTCTTACCCGAGGGACACGGTTGCTGATGTTGCACACAGGACAGCGAAGAGGACACCGCGCAGCTACTCAAAGCGGCCGCTTCTTACAACCCGGATGATGACACCCCCCGAACCATCGTTCACGAGATCTATGACTCCAATCTTCCCCCCAAGGACAAGAGGATCAAGCGTGTCTTTGCCGACGTCGTCTCAGTGACGGGAGCCGGCTTCGAAACAACAGCCAGCCTCCTCCGGCTGGTTATCTACAACGTCTTTAGCAACACCGACATTCTAACTCGCCTGCGAGCCGAGCTCACCGAGGTAGCTGCTCGGTCCTCGTCTCCGGATGGATCTATCCCCCTGCAGGCACTTGAACAGCTACCGTATCTAACGGCCGTTTTGATGGAGGGTATGCGGTTAAGTCCTGCTATTGCCTCCCGCTCTCAGCGTACCGCTCCCGACAGAGATTTGATCTATGACAAGTATCGCATCCCGGCTGGAACACCTGTGGGCATGACGGTTCTGTTGATGCACATGGACGAAAGGCTGTACCCAGATCCGCATCGGTTTCAGCCGGAGAGGTGGGTAGATCCGGAGGCGAGGAAGAAGGCTGAGAAGACGTACGCGCCGTTCTCGAGAGGTACGAGGATCTGTCTTGGGATGCAGTAGGTTTCCTCTATTTGTCATTATCTGTTCTGTGATCCGACCTGACCGTTTGAGCTAGTCTTGCCTGGGCAGAAATGTATCTGCTTATGGCTGCGATCGTGCAAAAGTTTGAATTTGACTTTGATGGTCTCACACCAAAGGACCATTTCAAGGTCGTGAGCGACCAGTTCATCGTCAGCACCAAGGGGAAGGCTGTTTTGGAGACAAGGGTGTCGCTTCGTCAGCGTTGAGACCGGTCTGAATTGTATCTCTGGAAGTGGGAAGAAATTCATGACGACGGTTGGCACGGTCATAGGAAAAAAGCATCAGGGGTTTCAGGGGAGGGGACCCACTTTTTCCCCTATCTCTACCCTAACTGAGTACAAATCAAATCAACCCAAGCGAATTCTCACTGTGACTTGAGACCATCCCAATGTGCTCTCAATACACGTGTCTCCCCCACAAGCTGTCCAACTAAGTCGGACATTCGCCTGTCATCACTCAGGCGGATCATGCCCCGAACAACTACAGCCGCAGCCGTAGGGTTTGTCGTGGCAGCAGACTCTTTTCTGAAGTTTTGGAGGTGAGTTGAGCTCATGTGAGATGTGGCTGAGTGGGCGGTCGGTGCTGTGAGAGGGGTGCTGTTAGTTTGAGGAAAGGAGGATGGTGATGGGGAGGGGAGAGAAAACATACAACCTGCGGATGGCGTTGCGGTCGATGTAATCAGGGAGGGTAGATTTTGTTGTACGTCATGACACGGAGCGGACCACATTCCGCTCTGAGTCGGGCGGCATTGGGGTCTAGAGGGGAAGAAAGGTGTGGCTAGCAGACTGGTAGCCTGCAAACCGAGGAGTATAATGAAGGTCAAAGATTGCATTCTGGTGAAGGCTTTCACTTGAGACGACGCTAATGTGATCAAGTGTGGACATAAATGGTGAGGCTGAAGGAGCGAGACGGTTGACAGCAGCCGGAACAGGGTTACTTTATACTCGAACCCTGCTCCCTCTAAGAGAGATGTTTGTCTTCTCAGATCCAACATGATGATCTCCCACCGCGACGATGGGAGTTACGGTTGTGACTCGTCGACTCACCCAGTGTCTCTGATCCCCATGTCTTGGAGCCACAGTTGTTGCAAGGTCTGAGTAAGTGTCACCTTGTACGTCAGGGGTCTCGGACTCCAGTGTAGAGACTACTATTCTTATTCCTTTCTCACGTTGAACTGAATACTCGGGGTTTGCGCCATCTTTCATCATAACGTTCATTGTGGTGTAACTAGAGCAACGTGATAGTCAAGCGCTGCTCAAGCCTTGCCTGTTTATATACCTAGCCTATCACATTCATGGAAAGCGCCATTTCGGCCGGTCGATCGAAGATCATCAAATGGTGACAAGAAGTATCGAGTTTACACACTATGCCTATCAACGCTACCTACCCATCTTGAAATGCTCATCTCATCAAAAGTATGGTATAAAAGGAGTGATCCATCTTGCCATGGCCAATGTCCCCCTTGTATCATGTGTGTCCCTATCACATCAAAAAGCAAAACGCCCAGCTCATGATCCACTGCAGCCCGCGCATCCAAAGCCCAAAATTACCAAAAAAAAAAAAAAGTAATATCAACATCAAATGAATCATCACTCATAGCACTTCTCCTTTTAAACCTACTGCCCCGTCATCCTCGATACCTTATATCCTACTTGGGCCAGAACCGCCATTCGGATCCGTCATGTCCTCCTTGCTCTCCGTGAATACGCTCTTCCTGAGCGGGCTGTTCGCCGCTTGCGCTTGCTGTGCTTGCCATTGCTGCGCCTGTCCTGGCAGTGGCCTCGCACTGAGGTAATCTGGGCTCTCACCCATAGGCCCGGCAGTAGGAGGCGACACCACCCCTGGGCTCTCCATCAACCTCTCTGGAAAGCCAGAGTGGCTGAGAATCTGCCCGTGCTGTCCTGCACCTGGTTGATGACCGGACGTGATCGAGCTGACTGTCGTGTCGCTAATCTGCCGAAGATGGGACCGGTCACGATCACTCAGGTTGGAAATGCCCGACAGAACTTGGTTGCGGAGGGTACTACTGGTTCCGTTGGTTGGGTGACCGGATGTGGGCGTGGTGACTGGTGGGTTCCCGAGTGCGTCCGAGTCTGGGCGGTAGAAGGAGGTGCCATAATGTTCTGGAATTGTAGCCGGTTGCTGTGGGGGAGGAGGAGGAGTGGAGCCAAGAGATGAGATGTTGCTTGCGTGGTCGACTTGGTGAGTGTTGTTTGGGTACGAAGAGCCTTTATTGACCGAGCCACGGCCAACCGCGGGGCTTTCATCGTAGGAAGTGTAGGGGGTGTTCACGCTCGGCGATGCCGGATTGTTGTAGAGTTCAGCGGGGCCAGAGTTATCCGGAAGCTCTACCGGACGTCGGATTTCGGTGTTCATCATCTCAGAGATAGAGAACGGCGTCGGGGCCCCAACACTATCCACATCCGTGACGCTACCGCCGTAGTACTCAGTTGCACCAGCTGCGAAATGCGGCTTGACATCCTCCGGTTCTTGAGGTGGTGATGCAGGACCTGGGCCTGGACCTGGACGAGGAATCCAATTCATCACCCGCGTTCTGGTATTCTCAGTTCTAGCCTCACTCTTGGTCTCGGCATCTGGACCCAGGTATTTTCGGCGTCGCCACAAGAACACTCCGACACCAATCAGCGTGAGGACGACAAGCCCTACAACGACTCCCACCACAGGACCAAGCCAGGATGGGGTTCCGCCACCTTGCGCTTCTTCGGAGGTTACTGGGGGACCAATCGGATTGGTGTTGTTGACCTGGGCTTCACGCGCATACGGGTAGTAGGCATTGATCTTGGTGTTGTCGTATCTCGTAGCGAACACACTGGCAAGTGCGGTGCTCACAAAGGAGGGGTTCGGCTTCGTCAACTCGGCGTCGCCTGTGGGGGAACCCCCAATTGTGTCGCGAATACCCTGAGGGACGGTATAATTGCTCCAGATCGCTGGATCGTAGCGATTTACCCACGTCCCGGAAGACAAATTGTAGATCCGGATCGGCTCCTGAAGGCACGGAACAGTATTGGTGGCGTCCAGCGGGGGGTGGCCTCCAATCACCATCATCTGATCAGGGTATGGCTTTATACACTTGTGTGCGGCGCGCCCAGGACCGGTGCCTTCTGTGAGTTTAGTCCACGTGAAGGAGGGAAGTGACAATACCCAGACGGCATCTGAGTAACCTGACTTCTGCTCGAGCGCAGCGTAACCGCCATAATAGTAGATGTTGAAGCTTGTACCATCCTGAGCGGGGGCGACTACAGCACACCCTCTGCTGAGGGCTTCTGGGCCATCGCTCGTCTTTTGTCGATACCATCTGTCCCCTGCCACATCGTAGATATCGATAGTTGACATGAACTCCCGACTTTTCTCTTTCTGTGCATTTTGTTAGGCATGAATTCAACCAGGAACAATATATACTCACATTGTTGTCCGGGTCGCTCGATCTACCGTTTATTTTGATGAAAGACGGGTCTACAACACCCCCCAGTGCGACCAGAATACCTTTGGTGCCAACAGGAACCCATACCAATTCCGCGCCGGCGCGTCCCGGGACATCCTTGTGCAGTGTCTTGTTCATCCAATCTGGTCTTTGCTCTTTCTCCAAGCTCAGGGTGATCAATGTGTCAGACACTTGCGAGGGCAGAGTGGTCTCGTTCGTCCCGCCCCTTTCGACATCGTAGATGAGTCCGCCGGTCGGCGAGCGCAACCCAGAAAAGTACCAGGCGAGGTTCTCAGAGGGGGCGCTAGCCGCTCCGCCATACGCAACAAATCGTGTAACGTTGCCATCGAGGTTATCTTCAACGGGTCCAGGGGTAAAATCAGGCACCTGTGAAGTAAAGGCCCGGTATCCGCGCACAGCTGTACCCATCGGCTCCGGATACGAAGCTGACCTGAAAGTCATACCGCCATAACCAAAGTACTGGTAATCGTTATACAGGAGCCCTCCGCTGGCAAAATTCGGGGCGATATTGTTGACGGCCGCACCCCCCAAGGCGTAGATTGGTACGAACAGCGCAGTAACATTGTCTCTGGTTTCGAAAGGCTTGCTGAAGTTCAACGTGTATGTAATCCCTAGTGGATTGTCTATCCATCGTATTAAGATATCGCTCACGAAAGTGTCTGATGCGGGCACTCACCATCCTGTCGAGGAATCGCATATTCCCCATTCGAGAGCCCTGGGCGCCACCAACGATTGCCTCCATCCAGAAACAGCCTGTCTCGTATGACCGCAACTGTTTTCCGAGTTAACACAGCGACTAGAAAACAACGATCGTGGGGAGAAAAATTACCTCGAGGTTCCCTCCACTGGCAGAGAGTTACGTTGACGTAGTCAGAAGACCACCTTGGCTGACTGGCGACAACTGACGCAGACACCACCCACACAGCGATTGTTGAAAGCTTCAACGCAAACATATTGGCGAGGTTCTTCCAGGGGAATGGTGAAAGGGGGAAGATATCAGAACTCCTAGCCTGGCCGGTGCATCCAGCGGGAATGAGAAAGGGATATTTCAGGCACAGACAGTTTTGCTGTAGTACCTCTCGCCTGAGCGCGCTCGCGGAGGGTTCGTTTTGCCCTGTCGAGATAGGTTAGAACGGCGTTGAGTTGGATATGCCTCTCCTCGTCGGTCAAAATACGAGAGCCTTCCAGCAGGACGCTGCGAGTCTGGAGTGCGCTGCAACAGCAAAGACTGAAATCCAGAGCCTCGAGAAGCATAAGAGATCTTTGAGCCTCAAATTCTCTCCAGATAACAATTTAGACCTGCCGGAAGGACCCCGCAGAACGGCAGGCCAATGGACGCCGAAAGGGCGGCGATACCATACAGACCGTGGCGAATAGCCGGCAGCCACAGGAAGGGAAGAAGAGGGATTAGACCAAGGTCCAGAGCGACACTCACCGAACAACACCACACCACAGGCGAAGATGTGAACAAAACACTCGCTTCTCGAAATTTTGAGATCTAGCACGCTGTGCTCAACCCGAGATATCCTAACGTGATGGACAAGAAAGAATGGAAAGACAGAGAATTCTGATCGCTCACGCCGCAATCCGACCCATGCGGACAAATGCGAGTCTTCCAAGTCTTCCAACTAGACTCGAGTGAGAATGAGTTGAGAAGGTGTGGCGAGGCCGGATGTGGTTGGCTCAAGAGGCTGGGCGTGCAGATACCACCATCCATCTCAACTTCCTTGCTCTGATCATTGTGAGCAAAAAAGAACGACGAGGGGGCCGAGGACACCCCAGTTTGGTTGCATTCTGGTTAGTGCCAAGGCGTCAATATTACCCTCCCAAAGGCTCACTGACTGGCATCTCAGCCTTGTGGGCACTGGGATTGGATTGAGGCAGTCGCCGTGTCCGTTGTTGGCTGTTGGTGAGGGTGCGAGGATCGGAGAAAACAGTATCTCCATGCTTCTGGCCGTGCTGGAATAGCAGGATTGTGGCAGTATCCGTTCTCTGGAGCGATTTGCACAGCTTCTCTGGACAAATGGTTCTCAGCCCACCATACCTAAATCTATCTGTTTCCTAGGAAGAATCCGTCTTCATAACCCGTGGGTGTGGTAACGCTGACGGCCGGGCCCAAAGTGTTGCTGCTTGGCACGATATTCAGATGAGGCGTGTTCTTCTGACCAGTGTAACCTTCCTCATCGAATGACCGGCAGCGGAAAAACGACATCTTCCCTTGCAACCCACATCTACCGTATACTACACGTTTTGTCGATTTGCCATCACCTACACTATAGGCCTCCAGTGGCAAACGGGCCATGGTCTGTTGTCCCATCGAAAGTTCTTCTCTCAGGCTTCGTGCCTTCCTACTACCTAGATGTAGCTCCTCTCATACTCAAGCAGGGTGGCAGGTAGGAGAATGATACTGTCAAGGATGCTGTGATAGCGGGGTTATTGCTGTTCTGGACCTGGCTTGGACCCGTAAAGCATCAGGACTAGGTGGGATTCCTGTAAGCTGACGCCTACACTAACACCGGGCAGGGCAACCTGATAAGCCCGGCATGCTAGTGCTCACCACTTTCGCTGGCCCCACGCTGGTAACTTGGATTGGGAATTCCAGTTTCCCAGAAAGAATTGTCGTTCCAGAGACAATTGTGAGATGCTTGCTGAGAAATAGAGGACTGGATGGATGTTGCTGAGAATCAGATCGTGAGCGGGGCAGAATGGAAGAGCTTACAATTGCGGGAACCAAAGTCGGGGACTCCCCGCTCCCCACAGGTGGCGCTAGTGATGCCCCTCACGCCATTCGGCCCTGCAAGGCTAAACCCCAGAAAGGAAAGGGTTTGGCTGATCGTCCAATGAACCACGGCCAACCCCCCCCCTGTCCTGGTCCATGCTTCTTGACAAGGGCGTCTTCCCGCGGACCCCAACTCGCCGACCGCCTTCACTCTCACTGAACGAACTGATGCCGAGAACAACCTCTTCCTTCTCACCACTCCCTTCTGGTCCATCATGCATGGACCTGCAGCTGGTATGGCTCGTGTTGCTCCTCTTTCGGCTCAGGCGGGCTTACTCATGCCAACAAGTTCCCAAGTTCCCAAGTTCCCAGTAATCTCGCATATTCTCTCGACTTCCTGCCCATCTTCCTATCTCGGTCTTGTCGTCGTTGTTGGAAGACCCCGCCGCACATTCAAGCTTCACGTCCCAACGCTAGCAACAGCGACCGAATGCAAGGCACAGGTCGTAATCTCGACTTGGTTTGACATGCAAGAACTGCGGAATCCTTTAACATAGAAGCCACACTCCATCTCAGGCTCATCCATGGCTCTAATGCCGCCTGGCCGTCGGGAAATCGGATGGCGGCAGATGATGGACGAGGCTCGGCCACACATTTCTTCAGGTACCCGAACTTCAGCAGAGTCAACTTCGTCATTCTCAACAACATGAGTAACGTTTCCTGCTTCCACGATTGATGGCGGCAATATCACATACGCTATTAACGCAGCTCTATGCATCTCTCATGCATACACACAACCACCAGCCCCTCCATTGTTCCCATTGTCTGCCGTCCCGGCTTGCCTTGATTGCAAGAGCGGCTCGGTGCGGGGAGTATCCAAACCGGGCTTGCACTTTGCTATCACTGTACGGATAGAGTACACTACATCACCACCACACCTCGCTGGGAGACAGGCTGTTGTCGAGGCCCCACGGCGCGGCCAGGGTGGCTTGCGGGTATCCGTACAGCCAACAAGATGAGGGGTTGGTACCTGTTCTGGTAGACTGAGCCATGAGAGAGGCAGGGGGGGGAAAGAACTTGGGCAACAACTCTCCTTCTCACTCTCTCACATACTGTTGGCTGTGAGCCTGATGTGAGAGGTAGAAAGAGCTTATTGAACCCTGTCCACTTACCTCTTTCGTCGGACTCCACCTGGGATGCGACTTTGTCTGCTTTTTTATCGTAAGCCCTCCGGGCAGTCTGCCGCCGAAAGGCAGCAGCGACGAGAGGGAAATCTCGCTGTCAACAGTTGCAGATACTGTTGTCACTCGGAAAGCCCGCTTCGAAGGCCCAGGCCTCATTTCTCCTTTTCCTTTGTTTCTGTTCCCGTGCTGGGCACACAAGGATGAAAGCTGGATCCAAGAACTTCGGCAGATACTGTGGTTCATATTGATCAGGCTGTTTGTGTTGCGTTTAATATCAAGAGCCCTATGGTGAGCGGCGAGGTTGCATGTCTGGAGCAGGTCTGGAGAAGGTTGAAGAGGTGTGGCAGCTCGGGGCTGCGCAGCGTGGCTAGCCAGGCACCGTCATTGGGATTCCACTTCCCCCGGACGACGGGTGTACCTTTTGTGGGTTGGGTGGTCTGCAGCTATACGAGCAGGGGTAGGAAAGCTCAACATCTACCCTGGTAACTTGATCTCTCATGATAGGACGGAGCTGGATGTGAGTTGGGACATGGATGGCAGTCCGCATCACAGCTCGCCCAAGCTGGTATGCACGCGAAAGCTATCTGGATCCCTTTTGATCATCCTTCAGTCCCTTTTGGACCTTGAGATTTCCTCTCCTCTTTCCATCTTTTCGTCAGCTCTGTGCCGTTGAGACTCTCTCGCTCCGTCTCAACCTTTTCTCTCGTTTTTGAGCCCAAACCAACGACACGCAACTGCAGAGAGCAGTCTAGAGGATATAGGCCTCGGAATCCACCGTCGACTGTGACTTGTTCCCTTGTTTACAAGGAGCTGGGTCTGATCGCCAAGGCTCTGCGCCGTTGGCTCATTTCACGAGTAGGTATACGAATACCACCCCAGTTGTCCGCTCAAGTTAGCCGCTTGCGATGCACCCCCTCCCCTTGAGCCTGCCCAGCCTCAATATATGATCCGAGTCCACCGCCGGCCCTCGGCCTAAGCTCTTCATAGCTCTGTGCCATTCTCGTCGGCGCAACTTCACTCGTTGCTCATACATTCGTTTCCTCTTGGGACTACCTTCGCTTTTTGTGTCTGGTCACTTCGGAAGGATGCTTCTCACGAGGCTTGTGCAGAGCTTAGGGGCTTTAGCCCTAGCTCAGGTGGTACTCGGTGATGCTAACCAGGTGTATAGGAGAACGAACGAAACAACGGACGAACTCGATTCTGGAGCTGCTGTCGGACTAGAAGACGAACAAACCTACCACGTGGACACTGAATGCCCTCATCACTGCAAAGAGAAGATCTACATTACCGTCACGTACGATTTCAAGCTCTTTTGATTTTTGGCAATTCGCTAACTTGGGTTTTAGACTGCCTGCCAGCACTGTCACTCTGCCTGCCAGCACTGTCACTTTGCCTGCTACCACTGTGACTGAGAAGACGACGCGGACAGAGACGGTGTATACAACTCAAACCAACGAAGTCAGCGTTTCTGTGCCGGTCAGTGTTACTGTTATCAAGGGGTAAGGGATCTGATCTGCTACACACATCTCCGGCATCACTAACAACTCTCAGGACAACTGAGTACATCACGACCACACAGTTGTCAACTGTTACAACTGTAAGATGACCTTGAAATCATGACGTGTGCGGTTCCTTACTAACAACGTCCAGCTAGTGCCTGTGCCCACTACAATCAAGGTCTGCAACACCAAGTCGCCATATTTGTGCTCCACCAAGACCACAACTGAGTTGGTGCCCACAACAACAACCCGAACCATCAAGAAAACAGTTCCCACAACAGTCACCAAAGTCAAGGTGACCACTAAGTGGAAAGAAGTTACCATCACCAAAACCAAGACTTCAACATACACTACCAAGAAAACGATCCCCATCACTGTCATTGATAGTACGACGCTGTACTCAACCAAGACCGAGACCTTGAAAACAACTCTTACCACGGTAGAGACAACAAGCGTTCCAACCACCTTGACGCAGAAGGAGACACAAACCCAGACCCAAACAGTGAAAACAACTGAAACGGTCCCAACAACCATCGTTCAGACGAGCACGGTCGTGTCTCTAGTGACGTTGACAACCTCGTTCCCGGTCACAGTAACTGACAGTACAACTCTCTGGTCCACACAAACCACCGTCTTCACCACTACCAGCCTCAGCACTTTCACCACCGTCAGCACCATGACAACAGTCCATGCAGTCACAGCGACTGTCACGCAGTTGACAACCACAACTGTGTCGGTATGTGCTGCTCCGACAAACGCCGGTATCTACAAGCGCTCCGCGCTCGACGTGAGGTCGAAGAAGCACCCCAGGGCTCTCCGGACATGGGGCTGTGAGCCCGGATTCGTCTGCAATCAGCCTAAGCCTGACGGCTGCAATCTTTGGGCTGAAGCGCCCGGTTTGGACTTTGAGTGTCACCCTGACTGGTGTGTCCCTGCTCCATATATCCCTCGCGTCGTCTGGAAGAAGAACGAAACTGGCTACTTCCCGCCTGTTGAGGGATACTTCAACCTCAACCCCGAGGATTTTGGCTTGAGCTATGGCGTCTTCGAACTTCAGCCTGTCGTTGTTTTGAAGGCAGATGGCAGATTAGCAACCAGCTATACTGGCGACTGGGCTTCTCAAGCTACTATCACTGAACGCACAAGATCAACAGCTGTGCCAAACTCTAGGGCACGCTTTGTCAAAAGGCAGGTGCCAGGCTCAGATACTGTTCCATCCGAATGTTTCAGCTTCTGTGATAGTGCCTATCTGGAAGCGCAGCGTGTTGGTAGGGACCCAGAGCTTTGCGAACCGGGTTCGGTTTTCTTGGATATTTTGGACGATTGCAAGGTGTGCATTGCAGACAACACCGATGACACCAAGTATGAAGAGATAGAGAGGGTCTATCTGGAGCCAAACTTCCGGCCATGGCTTGACTACTGCGACGCTTTGAGTCCAGTGCCCATCACCACCACCACAAGCGGTGAGCCACAGGTGACCGACACAGCGACTGTCTCAACAGACACTGGCCTGCCACCCAACACCAGCACTGGTTTTGATGATATCACCACTTCTGCTACCACGACGTCAACTGAGGAAACCTCAACACCCACTTCTACTCCGACGTCCACCGATGAGACGACGTCGACCACAACCGACAGCAGCACAGAAACCACAACCACCGAGACAACATCCACAACTTCCGAGTCCACCAGCTCCACCGAAACTCTCAGCTCCGAGACCACCAGCTCCGAGACCACCAGCTCTCCCAGCACCACCGAGACCACCAGCTCTCCCAGTACTGAGACGACGACAGAGTCTCCCACCACGGAGACCACCGAAGTCCCCACATCGGGTGGCTCAGAGAGTACGTCGTCTCCCGATGTTACGACTAGTACGGACGCTCCGTCCACCTCGGAAGACGGCCCGTCCGCTACTACAACTACGTCTCCATCTATTGCTTCATCCACCACTCCACCCACTTCCTCCTCCTCCTCCTCCTCCACCATCACCTCCTCCTCCACATCTTCATCCGGCTCGGACGATTCCAGTTCGACATTCCCTGACACCACAGATGACTTACTTACATTCACAGCTTCCACTTTCTCTACAGGTACACTCCCCGGCGAGACCAGCGGTGGCGGCGATGACGGTGGTGTCGTACCCACAGACACCCCCACCACCATCACCACCACCACCGCCGGCACCGGCGGTCTAACGCCCACACTACCCACCGGCCCGGTCGTCACCGCGGCTGCGGGCAGGATGGCCAACGTCCCCTCCCTGGGAGGACTTGGTAACATCCTAGCCGGGATTTTGTTTGCTGCCATGTTGCTCTGAGAGGGATGATGGATGGCAGTCAGGTATTATGGCTTCATGTTTTGTTATCTTTTCCTTTTTTCACTTCTATAATGCTTAATGTCTTTGGCCAGAGGTTGTGAGGGGATGAAACATAAGCATGGTTGCACATATTTAATGATGGTTTTTTGTTTTATTTTTATTTTTATTTCTATTTTCTTTTTTCTTTTTTGTCTTTGGAAAGGAAATGGGACCACTCCTTCTTGGTGGGAGAAGATACAATTGGGCTTTGGAAAGGGGGGCAACATCTCGGGCGATTTAATGATGGCATTCACGACATTCCTTACAAGCTAACAAGCATACACACGATGGGAGAGGATGGGATGACGAAAGGGAAGAATGTGTTATGATTTGTTAGATACTTTTACATGATTCTGGAAGGGGGGCATCTTTATTGTCCTTTGTTTTTTTTTTATACATGAGATACCCGTTATTCTCTCCTCTTTTTTTTTCTTCTTTTTTCTAAACTTTGTTTAGTGAAAAGGGGAGAGGGAACATGTCATTCTTTTAGGCATTACTTTTTTTGGCATCTATACCCCTTTTTTGGGATTTTTGAGGGATTGGTGGAAACTAGGGATGGATGCATGACGCTCATTTTATGATACCAAGGAGGCGGTGGTGGGATGATTGGGAAAGATGGTGGCCTGGGGATCTGGTCAACATTTTGGGCCGTGAGGAATGGTCTCGGCTGTCGAACCGAAGGGAAGGATCAGGGGGTGGAGATGAGAAACATCCGACGGGATGTCGATGACGAAACTGGTTGAGGAAGGAAAAGTTGGGGATTGTAATCGGGCTTTCTTGTTGATGATGTTTGTTTACCCAGTGGAGGGGAGAAAAAGGTTTCGCTTCCGAAGCCTGGTCTCATCTGATCTTGGATCGGATGGCAACCAGGGATGGGTTGAGTGAGTTGTATATGTGAGAGACATATGGTGGATTTTGAGTGCAAATTGATTGGTGTATATCTCCTACAACCACACTGCCTTCGGTGATTGAATGCTGAACTGGCATCGACAGTAAAACCGCTTTCCAACAACTCACATGCCAACCTGCACCTGGTCATCTCTCTCAGTGGCAACGGGAATTATGCCTGCACACAATCTCACCAACAGCTCCTTGGCCCCGTCGGTACCCCCAATCCGAACCCTCCCCCAAGGAAGGAGCCCACGCCACAATGTACCAACGGTTTTCTTTCTTCGCCTTCCGCGCCTCTGTTCAGCAGGAAACATTCGGACGACGATCCACAGGAACTGCGACCGTAAACACGGACCCATTCTTGTTGATCCTGTGGGACCTTTGTGGTTCTCACATGTGGGTGTGCGGCACGGAGGGTGGAGTGTATGACAAACGAGGAAAGGAACGGAGATCTGACCGGAGTTGGAACTGGACCTGGAATTTGACCGGCCCTTGGTCCGAGGGAATGGAACTGAGGAAACACGTGGATAGGAGGTGAGATGGTGAGGGTTTGGGGATTTGAGGCCTGGAGGGGGACCTGTGGTGTGGTGAGCTACCTAGGTCGTGGGAAGGTCGCGTCACAGTAGGACAGGAAGAGTTCGCGATCACGACAAGCAATTAACTTGACTAGTTACATTTCAGGTACCTAACTGATGTCGAGGTCATCGCCACACAACCTCACTGGGCCAAAGCATACATGGCCTGCGCGAGCTCCTCCGGGCTTCTCTTCCTCAAGAAATCCTCCCAACTCTCAGCCTTGATCTCGCGGTACTTGTCATTGTCGGTCTCGGGGCCGACCAATGTCTGCCCGTTGAGCCAGTAGTACTGGTAGAACCTGTCGCTCAGTCAGCAAGAGTTTTCCCCTTAAAACAAAGTAAACACTCACATCCTCATGTAGGCAAAGAAACCAGCCGGGTTCTCCGCCCTGGTCTTGTGCATCAAAACCTTGAGCTCCTCCAGCGAGCCCTGCCTCTCCAGCGCAGGCTTGAACCCGTACACCTTCTCAAACAGCTCAACGATCTCGTTAAGCGTCTTGCGATCACCGAGGACTGTCCTCTGTGTTAGCAACCATCTCCAGCCCATTCACATCGATCTCAGTCAAACTCACATCTCTTCACCCCCACCGCCTCCCGATCCGCCACCACAGCAGCCGTAAACTCAGCAGCATTCTCATAACTCGTCCCCTCCCACACCTCCGTCCCTTCCCCCCAAAACCTGATACTTTTGGTTTCCGGGTGCCAAATCCCATAAAACTGGCTCAAGATGGCGTCCATAAACCCCCCGATAAGCACGTGCACCCCTTTGACTCTGCCCCCCCCGGCAGCCTTCTCGTCCAGGTACCCCTTGATCTTGATCATCGGGTCCTTGGGAAACAGCTCCCCCAGCTTGAGCTTGGTGTAATCCAACGACCAATCACTCGCCACATAGCGGGTGACAGTACCAGACTCCTCACAGGCGTCGATGAGGGTTTGTTGTCCTTCGATCATGAGGTTATCGTCACCCAAGTAGGCGCAGATGACGACGTCGCAGCCTGTGACGAAGCGTTTGAGCTGCGGTGTCAAACGCCTCGCCTTGGAAGAGCTGGACGCGAGCGGAGGTGGTGAGGGGGGAGGGGAGCTTGGAGGGGTTGCGGCCATAACCGCGGACGGTGATGGAGGGGTTGGCAAGAAGCTTGGAGGCGATGAGGCGGCCGAATTTGCCGGTTATGCCTGCTACTCCTACTGTTAAAGGGGAAGACATTTTGGTGTTTTGATGGGGAAGTGATGATGCAGGATGAGGCGATGGGATGATGGGATGGGAGGAAGAGTTACCCAGAACGGGACGAAAGAGGAATCATCTGTTAATCTACAGCTTAAATTCTACATGACGTCGGTACCCAAATACTCTCAGTTGTTTCTGCCATTGTCTGTGAGTTTCGACGGTCGATTTCTAAGCTCTGCGGGATGACCTGAGCGTCGGTGTCCGATGTTTACCGATGATTGCAAAATGGGTCCAGAGGGGCTCTCAGGGGTAGGGTTGGGTGACAAAGCCATGTAAGTGACCTCCACCACCGTTGATATATATTCAAAAAGTGTGGATTGCATTTGAGTGAAAGCATCCCATTCAGCTCATGCAATTCCTACTCTAGACCGTCAACATGCCTCCTCGCACCCTCCTCATCACCGGCGCAACGGGCAAACAAGGCTCCGCCGTCATCGACGCCCTCCTCTCCCATCCCCTATCCTCCTCAGACCCCTTCACCGTTCTAGCAGTAACCCGGAACCCTTCCTCCCCCTCTGCCCTGCGCATCAAAGCCAAATCTCCCTCCACCATCAAACTCGTCCAAGCCAACCTCGATGACCCCACCACCCTCTTCGCCTCTGCCAAAGCCTCCTCCCAACAGGCACCATCTGGGGCGTCTTCTCCGTCCAGCCCTTCCCCTCCAAAAACGAAGTCACTCAAGGAAAATCGCTCGTCGACCACGCCCTCAAAAACAACGTCCGCCACTTTGTTTACAGCAGCGTCGACAGGGGCGGAGACGAACATTCTTGGAATAACCCAACAGAGGTCCCTCATTTCAAAAGCAAATGGGAGGTTGAGCAGCACTTGCGGAAGAGCGCGACCAGAACCATGGGCTGGACGATTCTGAGACCGGTGATATTCATGGATAACCTCTCTCCCGTGTTTGCGGGCAAGGTGTTCATGACCTTGCTGAGGGATACTCTCGGGCGAGATAAGCCGCTGCAGTGGATTGCCACAAGAGACATCGGCTTCTTTGCTGCGGAGGCGTTCCATAATCCGGAGGAGTGGAATAAAAAGGCGATGGGGCTGGCGGGGGATGAGTTGACTTTTGAGGAGATGAACAGGGTCTTTGAGAGGGTGACTGGTAAGCCGGTGCCGACCACGTGGGGATTGTTGGGAAAAGGATTGAAGACGGGAGTGAAGGAATTGGGCTCGATGGTGGAGTGGTTCGCCCTGGAGGGGTACAGAGCTGATCTGCGAAAGGTCAAGGAGGTGAATCCAGGGATGGTGGGCTTGGAGGAGTGGCTGAGAAAGAGCCCCTTTGTCAAAGGGAAGTAAGTAGCGGAGGGTGGTTATATATATCGTGCCCTCAGGGTCAACATGTTGGGAACTTGCAATATAATCTGAAAAGCACGTTAGAAATCGATGTTGAATACTGCATAATCCTTGCAAAATGAACATACCAGACTCGAACGACCACTCGATGTAGGCCCGACCCTCCAACGACTCGCCGCATCGTGATGAAGCATCTTTCTTTCTGGCTCAGGAAACGTCTTTTCTATGATGCTTAAGCGTCCTACCACATAACCGTATCCACAACCTCCAGTCTCTCCAGCTCGTGACCAAGCTGACCAGCCAGCATTCTTGCCACCGGGTGTGTCTGACTGAACCTTTGCAACATGTCAAAGAGATAAACAACATTGGCCCTGCTGCCCTCAAAGCGGGTAAGCGCAAAGTCTTCAAGAAACACCAGCGATGCAATGTACGTTGCGTAGCCCTGGATCGGGTTCTTCAGTGCCTCGGTCAAGTCCTCCTCTCTGATTGATCGGATGATGGCGATGACTTGCGCAGCTGCAGCAAGCAAGTTGCTCCGGCCCTGCGCCTTAACAAGCTTGCAGCGGTCCCCCGCCCTCCATCTTCGGCTGTTTTGCGTATTGCGGTCTTGTGAAGGCACATCAAGGCGGTACGTATCAGGACGTGGATAAAGATAGTATCTTGACACCCAATATTGGCAGGGAGGCGGAGATCTTGGGGTAAGCTGATGAGGAGGGCAAGCAGATCATTGCCAACGTCTTGCTGTTGAGCCCAATAAGATTCTAGGTTGTGCTCGCCCTGCGCCTCTGGCCGAGGCTCGGTAGTCTCCAAGTCCACAACTCGATAAAAGAGATGAGCTGCGAGAGCACGTGCTCCCAGACGCGAAACGGGTGGTAACCTCTCTCGCAATGCATGGTGTAAAGTGTTTGTGTGTTCTTGAGGCATCTCCTCGCCACCGCTCGTGAAGGCTTCCTCTGGTTTAGGAAGCAGCGTGTGCACCATCCGGTCGTCAATAATGGAAGGCAACGCTGAGGTTGCGAAAACTAACCGGTCTGCAGAGTAAATCACCCACCAGGTTCTGCGGCGCTCCTCCATCTCAATCCAGTCGAGGTGTCGCGAAGACGGCGGCTCGAGATGAGACTGAAACAGAGATGGTGGCTGTGGACCTCTGTCGAGTTGGTGCAGATTCAGGATCGCTCAGATCCTGATACTCTTCCCCAGGCTGAGGGAAGCGCGAGAAAACAGTGTGTTTTGAGCCTCGAAGCTGGCCATGAGCACCCAGCATTGGGCATGAGCTAACATGAATGCATTTGGTTCCTGGCCTTCTGTTAGTTGGGGAGTTCCACGGCCGAGATGCAGGTAAAGCTGACCTTGGCTTCATCCTGCTCGGCAAGTTTGCGAGCACGACGGTACAAAGACATGGCTAGGGAGGCATGTGAAGGGTCGGTACTCGCTCCAGTTGCCATGATCACCAATTGGAGGAACAAAGGTGGCTGACGAGAAGGAACATCTGATCGCAAGGATTCTAAGTAGCGAGAAGGGTGTATCATCGGGGAACAGTGATAGCCATTTTTGAAGTATAAAGTGGTACTGTAGGCTAGGTTGTTAGCCATTTGGATCACATTTGGCACTACAAGAGATGCGCAGCACTGACAGTTCCTCAATCAAGTCGCGTGACAATGGGGCATCGTCTAGCTCCGTAAGTTCCAGTTCGCTATTGGCAAGCCAGTCAGCCAGCTGTTGACGTTGGTGACTTCGAGGCTCTCCGACATCTCGTCCTTCCTGAATCGTAGCCTCGCTCAGCCATGATTGGTCCGCACTTGACGCCACGGGGGAAGAATAGACGACATTCGACGAGACGGCTGTTCTGACCGTCTGCGGTGAATTGCAACGGTCTGCATCAGCCGAATGTCTGATTGTTCTGAGCTGGTCCTCGAGTTGGACTGGTGTGCGCGATGGCGGTTGTTAACACAATGGTTCGGAGAGGTCGCATTGTCCGACAATGTCCAATGAGAGGCTCACTTACACAATTTAGCTTCCAGATCGCGAACCTGCTTCCGCTTGCCCTGGCCTGACTTTCTGGAACTTGGATAAACGCAATCATTACGCAGGCTCGTACATCGACGGCAAAATGGTAGGTTCCGGTCACATTTTTGCTTTCTATCGCGACACGATGTGCATGATAGCCGGGCCAAAGAAGTTGTGGATGTTGGGATCGCTGTGTCGGTAGGATGCTCAGAGTCGTCCATGAGCGTCGGCGCAGCAGCGGAACCCATCGGACTTTCCCAGATGATTTACATATACGTGACCTCCTGGAGCAGTCGGCACTCGAAATTTCCGGCGATGACTATGGCAAACGATCAGAAGACTACAAGGAGTGTCTGAACAATAATTGTCGGCGTCTCGGGACGTTTGTCCGCAAGCACAGACCAAACTGCCGAGGAGCCTGCCTTAACCCTAACCTGAATTCTTTGCACGTTTTTGAAAACCACTGGGAGAAGGAAAGCAATGATGGCATGGTATTTTGAACCGACTATTTCCTCATGTTTATGTGTGCTTTCCGTATCTTTTCAATTTGCATATATAGTCTGGGAGGAAAGAAGGGTGGGAAGGCCCCATCTAGACTTTATGGCCTCTTGGGATACTTGATTCTTGTGGCTTTGAGGTTGTGGAAAGGCATCAACAGAAGTCCAAGACCCTTCAAAAGAAATTACGGCCTTGGAAGACATCTGAAAGACGACTCGGGGCTGTTGTCTCTTGTCCTTGGGGAAACTGGCTGGTCCCTGGATGAGGAAGATGGATATTGAGATAAGATGCAGCATGTCAGGGGTTCAATGCGGGGCAGAGCGCGGGGCATGTTTTCCATCTGAAGCCCCAAACACAGACAACTTGACTCTCGACAAAAACCCACAACAACCAACGACCTCACCATGTCCACACAAGCAGAGACCAAAGCCAAAGCCGAGGCACTCGTGCCAAAGTTCAAGTTCGAAAAGCTTCTGAATCAAGGTGTGTGCTTCGTATTACTCTCTACCATATCCACTTCCGCTATTCAACCACGTCCTAACCACACACAACCTCAGACCAAGCAGGCCGCCGAACCTCCCTCCTCGGCACAATCGACTCTCTCCCCGCCCTCCTCATCCTCGAGCGTGCCCCCTTCCCATCCTCCCCCGATTACCTCGCCTCAGTCCCGACCACCCTCCAAACTCTCAAGAACCTAGGTGCTAATGACATCTACCACTGGTACCTCGCCAATTCCTCATCCCAGAACCCATCCGACGAGACGGCCGACCTCAAGATCAACCTCATCCACCCCTGCACCGAAAAGCACATCAAGAAATACTCCAAACAGGGCGTCCGTCTCGTCTCCGAAACACCGCAAATCTACCTCGAGTGTGTCAGGCCGTACATGCAAGCCCAGCGCGACGCCGGCCGTCTGAACTGGGTGTTCAATATTGTTGAAGGGAGGACCGAGGTCGAGGATGTCATCTACCGCACACCGTTCGATGCCGCTTCCCTCAACGAAGAAGGGTTCTTGTTGCTGCCCGACCTGAACTGGGACCGTCAGACCCTCGATGCGCTGCACTTGCTGGGTCTGGTGGAGAGAAGAGACATTTGGTCCTTGCGCGATCTGAAAAAGAAACACATCCCTTGGCTGAACCACATGAAGGAGAAGTTCATCGAGGCAACGACAAAGGTGTACCCATCCATCGAGGCTGACCAGCTGAAACTCTATGTCCACTATCAGCCCACATATTACCACTTTCATATTCACATTGTGCACGTGCAGCTCGAGGCGGGCGCCACGCAGGCGACGGGTAAGGCGGTTGGATTAGATAGCATTATATCGCAGTTGGAGATGATGGGTGGCGGGGACGAAGCGGGCATGGACCGGGCTACAATGAGCTACACTCTGGGCGAGGCCAGCGATCTGTGGGTCGAGGTGTTCGAGCCGCTCAAGCGCGCCGGTGGTAAAGCTTCTCAATCGCAATGACGAGGTCATTGACGCTGGAGCCGTGGGGGCATTCCTTCCACTGGCCGTTATCGCGGACGCAGTAGATCTCCTCGTTGAGGCGGACGGTGCAGCTCTTCGTCACGCCGGCCGCCGAGGTTCTCCTGACGCTGCTTCTGAGCATACCCATCCCATAGGCGCCATCATCCTTGGTGGCGCACTCGTTGAGCTTGTCAAAGTCGATGGCATGCTCGAGGGCGCAGTCCTCGATCAAACCGCGCTGGGGGATGTGGCGGTAGTCCTTGGTTAAGCACATGACGAACCCGAGATAGGTCTTGGGGTCTGGGTAAAGGCTTTGGGCGCAGAGCTCAATGATGTTGCCGAGGCCTGGAGACATTGCCTGTTAGTCTTTGGCGCGCTAGATGTTTAGCACAAGGGTAAACCTACACTCCTCTGCGCCATGCTTGCAAGCCACTCCGTCATCGTGTTCGGTTGGTCTGTGGTACACTGTGTCAGGGTCTGTCCATCAAGGTGCGCATGCCACAAACGGTGGGGCAAATAGGGGGGGGGTGGAGGTGTAGCGTACCGGCCGATGAACGAGAGGGTAAAGTTGACCTTGTCGAGAGTCTTTTGCATGACGGGGAGAACGAGGTCGCGGAGGCAGTCCTATACCGGAGACAAGGGGTTAGCCGCTGAGCTGAGTTTCCACGTCGACATCAAAGCAAACAATACCTTCGCATCAGGGCACTTGGACATGATATGCGCCTCAAGAGGAACCAACCCCCTTCTGACGCTAGGCTCCACCATCTTGATCACCGTCTCAGGCGCCGAGGGTTGCTGAGCGGCATGGTGATGGGCGGTGTGTGAGTGAAGCGGGTGGTTTGGGTTCTGCTGGAAGAAGCAGTAGATGAATCCGACAACGACAAGATATGCGACAGCGAGAAGGAAGCGTCCTGGGCTGAGGCCGCGACGCGGTGGGATGAGCGGCATTCCGGGGTTGCCAGCGGGGTATTTCTCGTCCATCCCCATCTTTGGTGGTGATGTTGATGAGATGATGTATACAAAAAAGATGCAAGATAACGGATATGGTTGCAGGTGATTTGGGTTGCGGCGCAGTGCTGGCTGGTGGTTGTCTTGGCTGAGGATGCGAGGGGAGAAGAAGAAAACTGGACTGGACGCCAAGTGCCAAGGTTGGGGTTTTTGGAGAGCTACTGATGTGGGGTGGTTTAGCTGTTGAGACTTGCAGTTGTCAGTTAGTCAAGACGGGATGTTCTGGTTGATGGAAGTGCTTGACATCAAGATACTGGAGAGATGCCACCAACCCGAGTCGCATCACGAAGCTAGGTATCCGGAAGTCTGGAGGCTGACACGGGCCAATGGAGCTCAATCATGTGAACCAGCGGACGTGGATCCGGCAAACTCCCCTTTCCCACGGGCGGCATTCCAGCGTTCCACATCTCTCCACTTGCCCTGATCATCCATCAACTCCACAAACGACTGTGGAACATCTATTTGCGAAATATAAGATACCTTCATTCGATCGGTATAATGAAGAATTTCAAAATAACAATTCGTAGAGGCTTCGCGCTTTCCCAGCGGCTTGACAGTTCGAAATCCATGTGTGGGGATCACTACTCCATAACTTGGTGAAGCAACTTCGCCGGCTGCTTGCGGCTTAAGGATATCTTCAATTTCCAACATCAGATGGCAGACTATTTAGTCGTGATATCGTTGGGGATCATATCCTCGATCCTTTTACATTTAATAACCATTGGAGTTGACATTTTTCATCTTAACTACTTCTGATATATCACTTTTAAGATAACCCCAGAGGTTAAGGGGGTGGCTGAGAGTTTGTTCATAATACTACAGGGTTAGGGTTTCTATCCCCTAGTCTTCACCCCTTTTCAGTGACAGTGACTCACTTACAACTCCTCATCCATTCTCCAATAAATAGTCTCATTGCAACTCTCATCGATGAAGATATTTTTAATCTTCAAATAAACATATTTATTATCAAACTTTATGTCACAAGCCAGTTACGATGTCCCCCTCCCGCAAGCTCATCTCCTCCGGCTCCCCGTTCGAGGCTCGGATCGGGTACTCCCGAGCTGTAGTCCAGGGTGACATGGTTTTTGTATCTGGATGTACTGGGTAAGATAGTTTTGTTTTTTTGTAGTACAGTATCTTTGTCACATTAACACATTACCACATTACCACATTACCACATTACCACATTACCACATTACCACATTACCACATTACCACATTACCACATTACCACATTACCACATTACCACATTACCACATCAACACACACATTCTCACATTACCACATCAACACATTACCACTTTTACCATTTCACCTACCTCCCTGTCCAAACTTTCCACCGTTCACATACTAACCACGGCATGTCGTCAGCTACGACTACAAAACAGGCCTCATCTCCCCCAACGTCGTCGACCAAGCAGAGCAAACCTTTCAAAACATCGCCGCTGCCTTGGCCGAAGCAGGCGCTGGGATGCAGGATGTTGTGAGAGTGAGATACATCCTGCCAGACAGGAAAGACTTTGAAAGCACCTGGTTGGTCTTGCAATTCCCTTCTTGGAAACTGCAGAGGTTAAGCAACTGACAGAAAAGCAGGCCTGTGCTCCAAAAGTGGCTGGGCAATGTGAGACCTGCCGCTACCATGATCCAGGCTGGGTTGATGGAGGAGGTGATGAAGATTGAAGTTGAAGTCACCGCCAAAATAGACAGGTAAAGACGTTGCTAGCAGAGCGCATTAAACCAAAAGAATTACGGAAAAGTCCATGCCCAAGTCCATCCGAAAACTCCAAGCTCTTTCCTACAAATGGGTATCGTCATTACGTCGGTCATTACCATTACTTGGAAACCCCCTTACCCGGCGCGTCAACGACCACCACCAGTTCCCCGTTACCCCCCTGGCCAGCCACCGTCCCGTCCCCGGCCCTCTCATTCTGCAAGACCTCCTCCACCACCCGCTCTCCACTGACTGCCTCCCCGTCCGCCTCCCCTTCCTTCTTCTCCCCCTCCCCCTCAGCCTCTTCTTTCTCCTTCTTCTCCCTCTCCTCTCTGCCTCGTTTATGACAATACCACAGCACAAACAGCAACAGGAAAACAGCCACGCTCCACAACGCGCTTGTTCCCGCCAACATGGGAAACTTGGTCTTGAGCGCATTCAAGATGGCCTTGAGCATGGTCTTGATCAACGCTGGGGTGAGCGCCAAATCACTCAGGTTCTTTGGCATAAAGAACTTGGCTGCCCCCTTCAACCCCTCGTCAGCATTAATCCTGGATTTATCCAGCCCCTGCGCTTCCGCGGCCATGGCTAGAATTTCCGGGGCAAGGCTAGAGGTGAGCTTCTTGGGAAGCTGAGTCACTAGCTTCTGGAGAGACGAAGGCAGCTTCTCAAAGGTCTTGGTGAGGATGTCATTCCGGCCGTCGAGGAGGGAGACAAGGTCGTCAACTGCTGTGGGGACACCGTTGGCGAGATCCTTGAGAATTTGGACAAACGGCCGAACCAATAGGTCTTTTGCGTCTGAAGAGATGGAGCCCGAAGACGACAGGTTGAGCTTGTCTAACAAGCGAGAGAGGTCGGCCCATTCCTTCTCGGCCGATTCCGGCTTGGTTGTGCCCTCGGTCCCGGGAACGGCGAGATTGTCCGGGGTTGACGAACCCTGCTTCTTGGAGCGCGTGAACATGCGGGACAGGCGCGATGGCTTCTTCTCCTTCGACTTGGTGTTCTGGTTATCCTTTCCATCAGCCTTTGTATCTGCCGCGTCGATAACAATCTCCTCTGGCCCAGAAGGAGACTCTTGTTCTGGCGCCTTGGGTATCGTTGCCAGCTCGGTATTCTTGTCCTTCAACACCAGAGCCGTATCGTTGGGGTTGGAGGCCGAGCTGGCGCCGAACAGCTGGAACGTCTCGCTCTTGTCATCCCAATCCCACGTCAACTCGGGGGTTTTCGATCGAGGCGGCAGCGCCGGCCGAGGTCCCTCTTCCTCCTCCGCGTCAAAGCCAATGCGCGCAACGAGTCGCTCGAGAAACTGCTCATCCTCGTCGTCGAGGATGGGAGCCACTGGGATTCGCTTGCCGTTGTCGTCGGATGAAAGCGACGATACTGAAACCCGGGGAGCGGCCGATGGCGTCAAGACGACTTTCGCGTTGCCATCACCACCCTCCTCGGCCTTCTTCTCCTTCTCCTTTGACTTTTGCCTCCATGGAAAATGCGGAGCCATGTGTGCGGTTGCGTGTACGTGGTGAGTTGCACTGGGATGACGTCTTGGCGTCAGTGGTGAGGGGCGGGGTTGGAGGGGAAGCTTTGGTGCCCGTGCTGTTGCGTTTGCTCGCACTTTGGCTGAGGAAAGGCGCGGCTCCGGGTTGAAACGCTTCACATGCAGATTCGAGATCAGATGAACTCGAGCTGCTGCAGTTGACGTCTGGGTTTATTTCCAGGTCTTTCCAAGCTTCCGGTTTCACTATAGGTAGGGGGTTCGTTAGAGTCGGCAGGAGGCCGCTTCGGAACACACCAGCGGGAGATCTCAATCGAGATGTGCACAGCCACAGGGTGATGTCATGCAATTGGGTATCATCAAGAATTCTATCTATGTAAATCAAAAAAAAAAATCAGTCTTCAGCCTCTTCCTCGCCTGCATCTTCGGCGACCTCACTACGTCTCCCGCGTCTTCCGGCTCTTGATCTTTGGAATGCCGACCTGGATGTGATGGCCCTTTCCCCCACAAACTGAGATCCATCCCACTCCGTCTGACACTTCGGACACTTCCGGTCCGGCCTGGTCCTCCAAAAGTTGCCCTCGCAAACATCGTGCAGGCGAATTGTGCAGTCCACATTGTTACACCGCTGTCCGTGCGTCACGATCTCCTTGCACGCCTCGCAGAACTTAATATGCTGCCACTCTTCTTCTTCGTCGTTGTAGGTGGCAACAAGCCAGGACCACAGCTCAACCAGGGCTCTCGTGCTTAGGCTGTAAAACCCGTCCCTGCTCTTCTCCAACCACCCCTCGGCTACCAGGTTCGATAGTAGCGCGAGCACTTCGGAGTGTTTGAGTCCCCGAGTGGCTGACTGACTGCCTTCCGCATCCTCACCATTGGCGCCGTTGACATGTCCATTCCCCATACTTTGCCGAGAGGGGCGTGATACCTTCAGTGCCTGTCCCTCATCCACAGCCATGACCTCCATGCGGGGCGTGTTGTACGTCTCAAACATGGCGTCGAGCAGCCTCTTGATGTATGCTACCTCTTCGGCCGAATGGACAGTGGCCATCTGGCTGGCTGGGTCGCTCTGGGTGTTGTAAAAAACCCAGACACGCTCGTCTCGGACTTGATCGCGCATATAGCGGATGTCATAGTCCAATGGCTCCACGGCCTCTCTCGCAGTTCGGATGGCATCTGTAAACTGGTCCAGAGTGATGGTGTCCGGGTCAACGGGCTCAAAGGTGGTCTTTGACTTGAGCTCGGCCAGCAGTTTCTTGCCTTGTTTCAGCGTGAGAGTGCCTTGTGCCATGAAGTTTTGAAGAAAAGAACGGTGGAGGTCATTGTACCCGGCTGGAAGAGGTGGCTCCCAGTCGATCTCCATGATGAAGCACTGTAAGTAGAGTGGGCGTGGATTCGGTTGGTGGAAAGACGAGGTTGTCGTCTGTCGGCTTGTGAGAGAGAGAGAGACTGCAGTGCTGATGGAGTGGCGAGCTGCAGGTTTCCAAACGACTGTAACCAGAGCGCGTTCTTCCCCGCGATTTTTGGCGTTGCGGGATGTCAGCCACGCCCTGCAAAAGTGGTTGCAGCGGACCGAATTGATGGCCTTACGAGGAAGGTGCACGGTCCATTTTGTCGGGCACGGGTCATATGCCTTTTCCATCAGCGCCATCAGCGCAATATTTCGAACCGAGCTCACCTCACCAACAACCAACCCCCATTTTCACCCACGCCCACGGGCACAAAGGTCGGCTCTTCTCACTATCTCCCACTATCACAATCTAGACCTCCCTCTTTTGGAAAATCACAGGCTTCCAATCTTGCTCCAATCTTCTAATCCCGAAGCTTGAAGTTCTTGGTATCTCTTGTTCGACAGCTGTTTGAAGCAGCTGTTTCGGCACCCGCTTGTACCCGAGGTGCTGCCCCCGTTTCCACGTGGGTTCAAATCTCCGATACGCTGCTTTTTCTCCTCCCGCCCCTTCTACGATGGATCATCTAGTGTAGCCTCGACGGGATTACGGCACGCATGGCAAAGAGACCGATATTCTCCTCTTGTTCTCTTATCACACTCGTCACCTGCACTAGTAGACTGTCGTGCCTGTGTGGCTCAACTGCCGCGGCCACAGTCGTCCGATGTGTGCTCCTCAGATTGGGAACGGCTTCACCTCTAGCGTTTCGGAGAACGCCCCTCTTTTCGGAAACCGGTTGAGCGGCAGGGGGTTCGTGACATCGTCTCACGTTGGCAGGGGCGGCATCTCTCTTTTCCAGAGCTTGGCTCACCAGATCCCCTCACCCACAGCCTGTTTGGATCTCGGGCCATGGAGCTGTTATGGAGACAGGGTCTGGATTCACTTGACGTTCTGTTTCCACCTCTTTATCACGGTATCAACTGACACTTCCCTCAAGAGTTATCATATCTCCACTACCGTCGTTCTCGAGTCTGGACTTTCGGGCTCGGCTCCAACTCCGTCGGAATCCACTCAAACCTCACATGCCAACCACCCGTTGAAGAACAGAGTCGCAACAACAAGACGGATCTGCAGACTGCAGCCGACCCTCCTTCCTATATGCGTCTTCTTCACCCTTATGTCCTTCCTGCAAGGCCGGGGTTGCTTGCTGCTTCTGATCTCCGAACGTGAACAGGGTCGCGCCGGAGCAGACCAAATGCTTGTGATAAAGCTGCGGAGGAGCTACAATAAACGATCAAAGCGCTACTCTCCACATCAAGCCACTAGTCCTCTTTCGCCATTCAGTTCTTGAAGGGCTTGCTTCTCGATAGCGTCTTTTGCAAATCACGAAGGCCCTGTTGGATTGCGCTCGGACGCTCGGATCTTGGTAGCGATACATCGCCCATCTCGTTCTCTCACAAAGCGCACCTGTAAGGGCACGACATCGCAATCGGCACGCAGCTTCCTGTAACCATATTCAGCTGCTCGCTTCTGGACCCTCCTCTCCCCCCTCAATCACCCCCGTTTCCACAGCTCCGTCTCTGGGCATGATGGGCAGGGCGAGAAGCTGGGTGTTTGGGCCTCTCCACGTTTTCCAGGGGTCACTGTGTCACGCTCACTGTCACCCAAGCTAGCCCGAGGCCATGGCTTTCTCAATTTATCCACAAGATCCCCCTCCTTGGCGTCGCCCTGTCTGCATGATAACGCGTCTTGATCCCCAGTCTCAACCTTGGTCCTGGTGTTTGTTTCTTCTTTTTCTCCATTCCTGTGCAACCTCCAACCCCTTGACGTACCCGGCGCTGCCGACAACACCCTCAAGATGGCTCAACTGCCGTCCGAGGTCATGGGCCAGTGTGTTGCTATTCTTCTCTACAGCTGGTTTTGCCTGGCCGTCGGCTTGTTCTTGCTGTGGATCGTGTGGGTTCATGATGAGCGCACGAGCTGTGAGTGCTTCACTGTCGTGGAGATATCAGCCAACGAGAGAGAGACTAACCAAGCTCAGATGTCATCATGCTGGGGTCTTTCATGGTCTTGCACACATTTACCTCAATCATCCAGCAAATACACACCATCACCTGGTGGAACGATATCAAGACGGCACAATGGCAGAATGTCGTTGCCAATGTGGGGAATCCTGAGCTCAACATCACGGGTGCATCAACCGGTCTGGATTTAGTGCTGTTTTACATTCGTGGGTTGCTTTGTGGTCGACTACCGGGAGCGCATACTGATGGTTGCACAGAGTACTATTGCTACAATGTAGAATCACTACTCGTTGTCTTTTGGGCTGTAGAGCTGGCCAACAGTATCTTCCAGCTACGCATCACCAAAATGTACCGGTTCCACGCCTCTCTGATTGCCAAGGGTACCGCGGCCGTGATTCCGGCCGTGTTTATGGTTTTGCTTCGGTTCAGCAAGATTCAGGCCAGTACCGTCGGGTTCCTGATCTTGTCCAGCGGAATCAGTACGTTTATAAGCTTTTCTAGTCTGCTGAAGAGCACTTGCTAACAAGCCCCCAGTGATCGCTTGCTTCCTGGCCGGCAGCTTGATCTTGTTGTCGATTCTTGGCAAATACATTCACTCGCGGGTAATGGTGTTGTCATGGGACGTTCGGTATGGGCGCTCAACGAACACTGGTGGAGGCACCTCGGATGGAACGAATCCAACCAGTAGCTCGCAGCCGAAGCCTCCGTTGCCGAAGAGGAAGAATATCTACGACAGGTGGTTGGTGTTGCGGTTCACCGTTGCTTTCATCGCCTTGAGGTATGTATACCATCACATCATGGACTGCGAGCACAGAGAACTGACAGACAACGCAGCCTTTTTCAACTCGTCGTTGTCATGTTCCAGCTCCGAGCTTCACAGACCAACTCGGTCGAAAATGTCCCGGCAGAGCCGGACCTGAGTGCCGGGAGAGCCGTTACCGACTTTGTTCTTTACATCCCTGGAGTTACGGCGCCGGTACTGGCTTATTTGGTGTTTGGAACAACGAGGACCTTTCGAGATTATGCCTGGTCCGTACTTGCGCCGCGGTGGTTGCAGGCGAAGCGAGAGGCACGCAAGCAGGCCAGGAAGAAGCCCAGCGTCGTGATCGGTGCGAGGGAGTTGGCCATCATCAGCCAGGAGCAGGCAAACAAAGCGGGCCGTGATTTGGAATCAGGACTTCGTCATTACGAGGTCAGCGTCACTGCCGGGAGGGATAGGGCGAACAGCAACGCTGGGAGGGAAAGGTCATTTAGCAACGCCGGGAGGGATAGGGCGTATAGCAATGCTGGGAGGATGAGGGGGAACAGCATAAGGCTGCAGAACCTCAATTCTTCCCACAACCACATTGTGGGTGCGATGAAGGATAAGGACTCGGATGAGGATGAATGGCCGATTATGAAGCATGAGTCCATTCAGGTCACGACCGAAATCGACCGAAGCTCTGGCCACTCTAGTCAGTGGAAGGATATGATGGACAAGGATCGGAGGATATGATGGAGAAGGATCGGAGGATTATGAGGAACCGGGAGCAAAGGGGAATGGCGTTTTGGTTTCCTTTGTTTTTTTATGATACCCTCGTTGCGCCTGACAATGATACGATTGACTGGATGACATTTCGTTGGATGTCTGATAATTTCTTTCGAGCTGCCCCGTTTTATCTGCGATAACCACGTCTTTTGGTGTTGTTTTTACTTCTTGCTCCCCAATCTTCCCAGTCTGACTGGTGCAACTAAACACAGGTTCGCAACGGCCAGAGCGAAGCAACATAGAAAAGTTAGACGCAGGGCGGCGGCGTAGCTCTGTACGACTTGATCCTGGTATGTCCCCTCCAAGTCCCTGATAGCCTCGACCGACTTTCTGACTTTGCTGATCACAGCCTCCTTTTCCGGTCCGCTGACGAATTCCTGGAGGTGATACCACAGCGAGTTTTGCACGACAAGCGATGAGCAGGCGACTCCGAGAATGTTGCCTGTGCTTCTCCACAGCATCAGGGTGCTGGTCACGACAGCTTGCTCGTGCTGCTCTGACGCGGCGAGCACAGCCATGAAGCTTCCCGGGAACTGGAAACCTTGGCCTGCCGACGCCGGCACGAGACAGAGCATGTAAACCCATGTCGGCCAGCCCCTTTCCATGCTGAACAAGCAGAACAGTCCGGCTATGACGAGCGTTGCGCCTGTGGTGAGCGGCCACTTCATCCGGCGGGACCAGGTGATCAAAAAGCCGGTTGTCATTCCGCAGAGGGCCTGGACCGCCGAGCAGGTCACCAGGCGGAGGCCGGACTCTGTGGCCGAGGTGAGGAGGACGCCTTGGAAAAACAGCGGTCTTTTTTTTTTTTTTTTTTTGTCAGCTGAGAATTCAAAGACAAGAGAGGCAAAAGATGCTTACACGTTAAACAGTATCGCCGCCGCCAACAATGCCGAAATATGGCTCGACACCATCAGGTTCATGTGCGGCGCCTTGAACACCAGATGAAGCGGCATGATCGGGTTTCTAACCCATCCCTCCACCCACAAAAACACGGGGAACACCACCGCAAAGAACATCAACGACCCTACCACAACCGGATGGCTCCAAGGGAGAACGTTTCCCCCCAGCCCAACCCCCAACACCAACCCCGTCACGCTCCCCGCCAGGGTCGCGGCTCCCCAAAAGTCAAACTCTCTCAACGCCTGCTGTATCGTCACCTTCTGTTTCCCGTACAGTCCTAAATCACCGGGGATCACCAACCCGCTCACTCCCACACAGATGATCAGAACAGGAACCTGAACCCCAAACTCCCACCTCCACCCCAGACAATCCGCCATCAGACCCCCCAGACCCGCCCCCATCATGGACCCGACACCAAAAGTAACATTCATCAAGCTCTGATATCTAGGTCGGATCTCGATAGGCACGACATCAGACATGATGATGCTCCCCAGCGTCATCATCCCCCCCGCTCCGAGGCCGCAGACTGCTCGAGCCAGGATGAACTGGAGCATGGACCCAGCAACGGCGCACCATAGCGTCCCCAAGGAGAAGACGGCAGCGAGGATGAGGTAGGGTGTTTTCCTGCCAATCGCATCCGACAAACCCCCGACCAACGGCTGAAAAGAGGTCTGGGTGAGCAGAAAGGAAGTCGAGAGCCAGGAGGCAGAGTTGGCAGAGTGAAAGTGGGAGGTTATCACCGGGTGGGAGGAGGCCATGATTGTGCCGTCGAAGCAGATTATCAGTTCTGCGTTGTCGTTAGGATTTTTCAGGTACGCTTGAGCTGGTTCGGGGGGG